ACATCTTCTCTATATCTTTGATTAATGCCAAGTTATTATATCCTTCAGCAACTGGTATTTCAGTGACTAGTGCTTTTTTTATACAGGTAGTCCTCAATCTATGACATAATTGATCCCAAAATTTCTGTTGCTAAGCAAGACAGTTGTTAAATGATTTTGGCTCCATTTTACAACCTTTCTTTCCACAGTTTTAAGTGAATTACAGCAGTTGTTAAGTTAGTAACATGGCTGTTAAGTGAATCTGGCTTCCCCATTAGCTTTGTTTGTCAGAAAGTCGCAAAAGGATCACATGACCATGGGGATGCTGCAGCAGTGTACGAGTAAAAAAATGGTCTCAAGTAACTTTTTTCAGTGCCACTGTGACTTTGAACAGTCACTAAAGAAATGGTTATAATTCAAGGACTGCCTGCACACAAAGACCCAGTCTCCTAAAGACCTTTCTCGCTCCCATATTGGCTTGCCTCTGAAAAAATGCAATAATTTAAATTAATTAGGTGCAGACAGTCTCTAAACAAATCTTAACAACTTACAATGTAGCAAAAAGATAAAATATAATAATTCAAATGCAAATAATTAAAACAAGTAAAAAAACAAGTAAAGAAAGAATGATGAATCCAAATATCAACAAAATTCAAAAAGATCTCCTAGCCCAAGACCAGGGAAAACAGTTAAGTCTTCAAGACCCTCTGGAATGCCATCAGGATAGGAGACACCCAGATTTCAAGAAGAATTTAATTCCAAAGGGCAGGTGGTACAACGGAAGACTTGCTTCCTTAGTCCCAAAAGGTAATTTGTTTAATAGAAGAGACCCAATACACACCAATCTTGCTGGTTCTTATTGGCCAGGAGACACCACAGGAGATAGATAGTCAAATAACAAAGTCCCATACCATGTAGGGTTATAAGGTCCAAGAAACATCTTGAATTACACCCAGAAACAGATTAGTAATTAGTGCAGTTTGTGAAGCAGAGTGTTTAATTGACACACACAGCAAAAAATTCCAACTCAAAGGGCAGTTCGATCTAGACTGCATTAAAATAGTCAAGCTTCAAGATGACTAAGACACGAATGATTGTTGGAAGGACCTCTCAGTCTAGGAAAAGCACAATTGGTGTATCAAATGAAGCTGTGCAAAGGCATTATTGGTCAGAGATGCCACTTGCTCATAAAGCAGGAGCTATTATAAGTCCATGACCATCAGATTGTGGATTACCCTTGAGTGGGGATTTCTCGCACAAGGTGAAAGTTGGATCTTCTCCCCATTCAGGCCTGCACAGACTTCAGATATTGGGACAGACTTTGACAGCCTCACTCAGGGGATTAAAAAATATAATTGGATATTACCATTAACTAATACTGTACCCCGAATGGCAGATATCCTCCCAATATTTGTTTTAGATCTCTTTCATTTATTTTCAGCTGCATTACTTGGCCAGCTCCAGCAAAGGTTCAGTTCTACTTTATGGGCACTTAATTTTTCCTAGCTGTTCTTGCCTGCCTCCATTTTTAGAATGTCAGATTATAGACATTTAGGATTTCTTCAAAGTAAAATCTTGGCTTCCAGCAAGGAAATACTTTTAATGGTTTCATAATGGTTTCAAAAAGAGTTTTTGAGTGAACAAGATAACTGCATTAGGATTATCCACTCAAATTTCCTTCTGTGTTAACAAAGAAAATTTAAAAAATAATTGAGCTAAGACAGACTATGAATTTATTTTTAAAGGAAACACAGTCACATAATACTTAGAGCTTTTTGCCAACTAATTCTTAAACCTGCTTATTGCACAATCATTCACTTAATATTTTCTTATTCCAGTATTTATTTTCTCTTAGTCCTTTATGCAACAGAATAAACTGGACAGTTTCACTAAGTGGGGTGATGTAACTTGGGAAAAAGTAGATCACTTTTTTTTCTTTATGTGAAACAATCACACAAGACAATCACACAAGTGGTCATAAAAATCATTGCTAAAGAGTAATTCTATTCTAATTATTTTATACTATTTTAATTCTGACCTCTGTAATAATTTATTGAGACTATAATGAGAAGTTTTATCATACATTCTCTACGCAAAGAAGTAAAGAGGGAAGATGACATGAACTGTAAAGACAAACTATCCAATCCTTGTAATGGTCTATATGTTACATATTATCTGAATTTTGTCTTTTTAAAATATGTCTGGCAAATTTTTTGACTAAAAAGCAGCAAAAGAAATATGCCTGGAAGGTTGATATTCAAGTTTCAAGTATCTTGGCATTTAATTCCAGGCACCTTCTTTTTGAAAGCATCTTTAACTCTTTAATTATGAGCCCAAACATTTTGTAATGTAATTATGAGATATTCAACATAAGGGAGTAATTATGTGGAGCAGCGTGGTGACCTAATGGGGAAGACTCTCACCTCCCACTCAGAAAATTGAAAGTTCAATATTAGGTAGTAACTTGGTACATTGTGTATTCATACTAGGCTTGGATGTAACCTGAGAAGTTTAAATTTTGATTTACAAGGCGATAGAACTAGCACTTCTCATCACTGTATCATTTATTAATTACATCTCACAGGAGGGCCTTTGCATTGGCATACTTGGATGCTGTCCCCCAATAGTATTGTTGGATGAAAACAATGGTATCCCTTGCCAAGGGTATTCATGTTTATTTCAGACTTTCGGTAGATATCAAATACTGTATTTTTCAATTGGGAAGAGCAGAATTAATTTCCCTCCTATTAAAAGTATTCAAACAGTTTTCATATGGCAGTTATGCCATACTAAAGAACTAAAAGTCTCCAGTAGTGTATCCAACTTTTGTAACATTGCTATATCAATATATTAGGGGTGTCAAACTGCCGGCCCGTGGGCCAGATGCATCATAGTAAAATAGCGCCCACCCCATTGCCAGCAATGGAAAAAAAGTTGTGATATATCGTGACAGGTCATGTGACATTGCGAGTTTTACACCTCTGCAATATATCAATGCCTGTTTTTGTACAGGCATGGTTTTTGTTTGTTGTTTTCTTTTTAAATTAGATGAACTGTAAGGTATTTTTAACTTAGTTTTGACTATGGCCTTATTTCATAAGCTGCAACTTACTAATCATTAGGATTAGCCAAGGAATGCTGGCTGATAGGGACCAGGAGACTTGCCTTTTCTGCCATAGTGCCTACCTCTGAAACATCCTTCTTTCAATTAGGACGACTCTGCTTCAGATGACTCTGCCATTCAGAAGGCCTTAAAGACTTGGCAATGCACCCAGTCCTGGGAGTGTGTGAACGGCCACATTTCCTAGTTATGTTGACTGATTATAATATTTCTTGGTTGCTTTTTATATTTAATATCTTTCTTGTATTATGTTTTACATATTTTAATTGTTGTTATGATTATTTGCTACCCAGAATCAGTGATTTGGGAATGGGCAGCATACAAATTGAATAAGCAAATAAATAATTCATGGCTGTTGTGGAAATTTAATGGTTAGGCTTCATATTAGTGTAATGCTGTCTAGTTTCCAAACCACATTTAGACTAATACCTAATACATGCCTTCTTTGACTGTCTTTCTGTTTGTTATAAAGCTAACAATATTGTACAGACACTCTTTTGCTATTTGCTTTTCATCTCATCTCTAGTTTCTAAACTGATTGTGCATTTCTGCTATTGATCTACAATTAGAAAATATGACAGGCCATATATATTACTTAATAATGTAATGCTTGGAGTTTTAAGAACAATTTTAATTTTATTTCGTACAAAGAAGAATAGAAGATTATCACATTAATATCTTAATTATGATGGAAATTGTATTTTGTTGAATGTTCTTTTGAGAAGGATTGGTCACATTATTATTTGGTTTCAAAATAGTTTATGTAAACAAAACCTCATCAGTGACAATCATTATGAAGATTTGAAGAATAGTATATATCTTGTGGCCAATTACCATAAGCAAAGGATTCTTATCAGGAATATAAAAATAATACAACAGTCCTTTTTTGAGTTCCTGAAAATGTGAGATAAACCCTACATTATGCTGAAAGGATTGCAAGCAAATTGTTATATATTAGTATCTTTGGTGGTAATGTGAGGTTAGTCCCTTTGGTCAAAAGTCATTGTGCATTTTTCCCCAATTTCCTTAAAGAATCATAAAAACTTATAAAATAAAATGTTCTTTGTTTTGTTTTCTGCACTTTCTAAGGAATATTTATTAATTTATTTTAAATTAATGCATCATTGTTGTATTATAGATTATTAGCTCAGTATTAGCTGCCAAATACAAGTCTCCTGCACTTAATTTATCCTAATTAGGACCTGCAACTGTGTTGCTAAGCAACAGCTGTGGAGTGTAATGTCATGTGACCGCATTGACATATCATCAGTTCCAGCTGCAATCATGAGGCAAATCCCATTAGTTATTAAGTGGGATGTCACATGACTACAATTTTCTGACTTCCTGATGGCTTCTCCATTGATCCATTGATTTAGCTTGTCAGAAGTTGGCTGTGAAGGTTAGAAATGATCATTATGTGACAGATCACTGTTGCCATACAGACATATTGCAATCACATGACCAAGGGGATGCTATGATGCCTACAACTTTAAAAACCTGTCATAAATCACTTTTTTCAGTGCTTCATAGCTTTTAATGGTTCCTGAACAAGTGGTTAGCAAGCAAAGATTAAATTAAGAAAACAAGAAGCTTTGGAAAAATCCTACAATGAAGGATAAATATTCAGCTTTTGATAGTTGATTATTTATTATGTTGGCAATATTTTCCCTAATGCATTACTTCCATCTCTATGAATGTCTACTTAATTTTTACTTCTAAATATCTTCAATGAAACAGCAAAAAGAAAAAGATCCTGACAATACATTTTTGTGAAATAAATTCTGATATAAAGAGTTTATTTGATGCTCCATAAGAGTTATGTCAAATTAGAAAATGCTGGGGGAAAGTTTGTACTTAGATGTATACGTAAACCTAGTTTTTTCCTCTCATTTTATTCCAGACCAATTTTTCCATATGGGGATGGGGAAGCCTTGTTGTTCTGCTTTTTCTAATTACATTTGGACCATTTGCCATATTTTATTTTGCATTTTATATCTTCTGCTCTTTGGGTGGGTAAGTATATCATTTGATTTGTTGATCAAGGTGAAGAAATGTTAAAAGTTAAGATTGATAGTCTATAATTATTATTGTTATCATTATCTCTATTACTGTCATTATCATTCTCTTAAATTAAATTGGTGTGCCATCTAACTCCCAATAACTCTAGAAAATTACAAATAAAAACATTAAAAACAAAAAATGCAATAATGGACAAAAATAAAAAATAAATATGAAAATATAGGATCATGCAAGATTACAGGTAATGATCAACATCTTGAATTGCACCTGAAGCAAGCTGGTAACTAATGCATCTTGTGAAGCTGTGATAGTTACAGGGGCATCATTGCCTGCAACATTGTTTTCTGGATGAGCTGAAGCTTCGAGGTGATCTTCAAGATCAGCCCCATGTCCCATGTAAAGTATGTTATAGTAGTCAAGGCATGAGATAACTAAGGCTTGAAAGTCTACCTGAAGGGAAGGGAACATCAGATAAAGCTGTGTAAAGGCCAACCTGTCTATGGCTGTGATATGATATGAGCATTTTCCTACATTGTATTTTATATAATTTATTGTATATGCATCAGTATATGTTATGTACATTATACATTGTAGATTAAGTGTAATTGTATTACATAAGCTATCATCTCTCTGTATGCCTTACTTTAAACTTGGGATCAAGGACAAACAGGTTGAAAATATAATGGAAATATGTAACTTATATTTCCCAAAGAGTCCAATGTATTTATATCTACCAAAATAAGCTTATTTGGAAATTTTTCAGAAGTTTTGCCCAGCCAAGTTAACAATATTTTGCAAGGAACACAAGCATCTTAAAAGAGTTAAAATATATAAATATTTGTTACCTTCAACTTTTATATTCTCATTGAAACTATTTTCAGTTTTCTGAATAGTTATGATTACTCAGTTATGTCTTTATTTCCATTTTAGAAGTTACTGTGGACAATGTAATGAAATTATAATAATTTTCAATTCCCTCTGGAGAAACTAAGCTAATATTAAAAGCATTAAGGGGAATTTAATTCTACCAATTGTGCTTTAATAATAGTGTTGTTTAAACAGAGCATTTAGCACCCTAATGGAATAATTGTAGGAATAGTCTTAGAAATATGCATATATGAGTAGTTGTTCTTCTATATTGTGAATGTTAGTCACTACATTATCTCAAAGTTTGTTATATAATTTATTTTTGGAGGGGCTTTGTGGTAACACTTTTGTTTGGAAAAACTAATTCAGAGAAGTACCTTGGACAGTGTGAAGACTCCTTTCTTCCTCCAACCTCATTTGGCATTAATAAGGTAAGCAACAAGCAATAAACACTGAGTTTATTTTGTCTAAATTTTACTATATACCATTTTTCTCCAGTTAACAATTTTTATGGGTAAGCAAAATGTTTTTAAACAACGATTAAATGTCATCAGTTATTGGCAATCAATGTATTTATCTTTTAAAGTGAATATAGATAGTCCTTAACTTAAGATCACAATTGAGCCCAAATTTTCTGTTGTTATGTGAGACAATTGTTAGATGAATTTTGTCCTATTTTATGATTTTTCTTGCCACCGTTGTTAAGTGAATCACTGCAATTTTTAAGTTAGTAATACTCTTGTTAAGTGAATCTGGCTTCCCCATTGACTTTGCTTGTCAGAAGTTCCCAAAAGGTGATCACGTGACCCGGGCCGACACCTCAACCATTATAAATATGACTCAGTTGTCAAGCGGCTATATTTTTATCACGTGACCATGGGGATGCTGCAATGGTCATAAGTGAAAAACAGTCATGAGTCATTTTTTCAATCTCGTAACTTTGAAAGGTCACAAAATGAACGTCAGGACCACCTGTATCAGGTAAAGGGAGAAGTTATAAAATAGGCTATTAATGTATTTTCAGCATTTGTGATTGAAGTGCAGTTAACATTTGAGTTCAAATGGTCTTTTAACAGCTTTTTTTAAAATTGCCAATTGTAACCCTATCTAAAAAAAAATTCCCACAGTATCAATGCTGCAATTTCATCAGTGCTAATTACTATTATTTCATTACACAGTCAACTTCTGCTCTTATAGAACCTTGCTTCTGAGCCCTTTATGTGTAATCTTTCCTTCTTACCCAGGGCAACAATAGAACCACCAGCAAAATTATCTTTTTAGCATACTTGTAGCTATATGTGCTTTGTGCATTAATATGACATCACTGATAAACATTAAGATTTCCGAGTCATACGTCTTTTATAACTGCCAATTGTCCATTTGACCTCTTGTTTTGCTCATTATAGGCATGGGGCACTTTTCTGGGTTCTGTTCTATTTCTCTAAGATCCTGATTTTGCCTGCATCAAGGAATTCTGATGAATGATCTAAAAAAAATCTTGCCAGAGAAGTTCTCTTTGCACCTCACTCTCTAGTGCATGTTCTCACCCTTATCACATATATGACAAGATGGAGAGCATATCTTTGAGCCATTCTGATCACAAGTGGCAAATCCAGTTATGTAGTTCATGAACCTGAGCATTTTATTGTTTGGAAGGCATTCCAAGCCTTTCAAGACTGTCCAAAGCATTTGGGCTATATTAGATAATTCTACCACAGTCTTGTATATATATTGTACTAGTTGTGTATCTCATGACAATATAATAAAAATTCAATGCCAAATACTTTTTGGCATTGATGTTACTGTCACTTTTTCTTCCTGACAGTCTCAAGGTCAGTCTATTTGTATCAGAGGACAATAGGAAATAACCTTTGGCAGTTGGGGCAAAACACATGCTTTTTGACAATGCTTTTTTAAAATGTAGAATGGATCTCTTTTTTATATATTTCCCTATTGACTTTGCTTGTGGGAAGTCAGCAAGAAGTCACAGGGAAGTACTCACTTAACAACATGTTATCCAGATTAAAAATAGCAGGATTTGTGGGGTTGCTGACGCTAAGCTATGCAGTCATGTATCATTGTACTTTATGACTGCTTTGCTTAGTAATAGAAATGCCACTCCTGGGTACTGTGAATAGTTGAAGATTAATGCCGTATATTATAAATATGTAAAATTTTGTTTTAGGCAAATATATAATTTTTACTGTACACGTTCTCTCTTCCATCCATCTTGACTGTAGAAATTTAGCCTGAAAAATTCTGAAGATATAAAAATGTGTGTATTTTTGTGATCTTGGAATTCATGTATTATCTAGATTATATTAATCTACATATATTATAAACATTTAGTATATTTTGATATATTGTGATAATTTAAAAATTGTGCAATTATTTCTGAGAGAGTAGTATCTTCTATAGTAAGGTAAGGCGTATGTGGGGGGTTTTCTCATGCCATTCATATAAATAAGGTTGATTTAAATATCAAGATCATGAAGTGACTTGAATTTAGGCTTACTTGGTCCTAGTCCAATATGTTACTCTTTTTATAACAATTTAATGACAGTATTTATGAGGAAGTAATAACAGTGCAGGTGTGTGTTTGTTTATTTATATCCTGCTTTGATTAAAATCTGGAAAGACCACTGGTAAAATAAGTGGAAAAGAAAAATTTATTTATTTGCTTCTATCCCACCTTTATTAAATTGCATTTGCGGTTATATTGTAAAGCATAGACTTTGTTCCGATTTGTATTTTATGTGAACTAAAATTGCAAGCTAAACTGAAAAATTAACTTTGTATATTCTTTCCCAAAGTGCATAGAAGAAATGAAAGAGGAAAGCAAACCTATTAAGATTGATAGGAGGTTAACCGGTGCCTATATAATTGATGAACCTCTGCAGCAAGTGAGTTGAAAAACATTGATTTTTTTAAAAAGTTTATTAATATAATATTCTGTGAGTTCAATTATTAAATGTAAAGATTTTGATAGGAGAATAATCTAGGTATTTAAATGGTACAATATATATTTTATGTTACAAATAACATGAATGCCATGTGCAGTATGAATTATCTAGAAAGGAAAATTCACAACATAATATAAAATATACCCTCTCCTGAATATTTTTGACTTTACCCAAAAGTCTTTGATTAATGAATGTCTTGAATGTATGTCTCTTGTCAGCATTTCCCTCTCTGTTGCCAAGCTAGGATGGTGATACTAGTAGACTTCACTTTACCACAACTTCAAATAGCAATCATTTGAAGTTACAACACTACTAAAAAATAACTGCAACCAATGCCCATATTTATGACCTTGGCAACATCCATCTCCATCTCTCCATCTCCCCCTCCCTCCCTCCCTCCCTCCCTCCCTCTCTCTCTCTCTCTCTCTCTCTCTCTCTCTCTCTCTCTCTCTCTCTCTCTCTCTCTCTCTTTCTCTCTCTCCCTGTGTTCATCAAAACAATCAGTTAGCATGTCTTGTCCTTTGCCCCCCCTTTTTTTCCCCCCCTTGGCACAGTTGAGAGATTGCTTAAACAAGCAAACTATTGTTGAGCTGTCTTTCTTCCTGTAGTTTCTCAGCTTTGTGACTTTAACCAACTCCCAGTTGCTGCTTGTAATTGACAAGATTTTAATCAGTGTTATACTTCCAATATATTTTCAGTTCCTAAGCTGCTTGAGGCCAAAAGCATACTATGCAGTCAGCACTAACGCATTTCTTTCAATGTGTGTTCTCCATTGTATGCCTGCTAACTGTCTTGTACTCCCTGCCCAGTGAATGTAAATACAGGCATTAATTCTCTTCTTGTTCATTATGCTAACCCAGGGATAGGCAACCCAAAATACTCAAAGAGCCACTTGGACCCGTTTCCCACCGAAAACAAAACACTGGGAGCCACAAAACCCTTTTGATATCTAAAATGAAGATAAGACTGCATATATCCTTTTTTACCTTTATTATAGGGGTGTGTGTGTATGGGTGTGTGTGTGTGTGTGTGTGTGTGTGTACACACACACACACACACACACTGATATATATTGTGCTAGTAGACAATCACTTAAATATGAGCCAGCAGTGTGCTGCAACTGTAATACCACTTTACAATGTCTTGGTAAGGCCACACTTGGAATACTGCATCCAGTTTTGGTCACCACGATGTAAAAAAGATGTTGAGACTCTAGAAAGAGTACAGAGAAGAGCAACAGAGATGATTAGGGGACTGGAGGCTAAAGCGTATAAGGAACGGTTGCTGGAATTGGGTATGTCTAGTTTAATGAAGAGAAGGACGAGGGGGGACATGATAGCAATATCTCAGGACTGCCACAAAGAAGAGGGGGTCAAGCTATTTTCCAAAGCACCTGAAGGCAGGACAAGAAGCAATGGATGGAAACTAATCAAGGAGAGAAGCAACCTAGAACTAAGGAGAAATTTCCTGACAGTTAGAACAATTAACCAATGGAACAATCTGCCTCCAGAAGCGGTGAATGCTCCAACACTGGAAGCTTTTAAGAAGAGACTGGACAGCCATCTGTCCGAAATGGTGTAGGGTTTCCTGCCTGAGCAGGGGGTTGGACTAGATGACCTCCAAGGTCCCTTCCAACTTTATTATTAGTATGTATGTATGTATGTATAGGTAGGTAGATATATATAGGTAGATATATATAGATAGATACATATAGTGTATGTGTGTGTGTGTGTGTATATACATACATATACACACATATGTATGTATGTATATGTATATAGGTATATATAGGTATAGGTATATATATATGTATATATATATCATAAAGGTAAAAAAGGATATATGCAGTGTTATCTTCATTTTAGATGTCAAAAGGGTCTCCCTCTCTCCCTCCCTCTCTCTCTTTCTGCCCTTGGTCTGCCAGTCCTCTTCCCCCACTCAGTGTGTGTGTGTGTGTGTGTGTGTGTGTGTGTGTGAGAGAGAGAGAGAGAGAGAGAGAGAGAGAGAGGCACTTGTGCTTCCCCCCTCTCTCTTTTTCTCTCTCTCTTTCCTCTCCCTCTCTGTCTCTCTTTCTCTCTCTCCTCTTCCTCTCTCTCTCTTTCCTCTCTCTTTCTCTCTTTCATCTCCCTCTCTCTCTTTCTCTTTTTCCTCTCTCTCTTTCTCTCTCTTTCCTCTCCCTCACTCTCTTTCCTCTTTCCCATCTCTCTTTCTCTCCCTCTTTCTCTCTCTCTCCCTTTCTCTCCCCTTTCCCTCTCTCTCTCTTTCCTCTCCCTCTCTCTCTTTCCTCTCCCTCCTCTCTTTCTCTTTCTTTCTCTCTCTCTCCTTCTCTCTCTCCCTCTCTCTCTTTCTCTTTTTCTCTTTGCTCTCTCTCTCTTTCTCTCCCCCCCTCTCACTCCCTCTCTCCGATCTTCTGCTCACCTGGCAAGCTGGCTTCAAGCTGTTCTGCAACAGGCTGGCTCTCTCCTCCCCTTCCTGCTTCCTGCAGAGACGCAGCAAAGGGAGGAGCCCCGCCCAGTAAGCTTTTCAGCTCATTGAACAGGGTGAGGCCACTCTCTTCTTTACACACACACAGAGGGGGGGGGAGCGCAAGTGCCTCTCTCTGTCTCTGTCTCTGTCTGCAAATGGCAGATGAGGCTGGGACCTGCATGAGAAGGCTCAAAGAGCCGCAGGTTGCCAACCTGTGTGCTAATCCAAGTTGAGTGCTAGGACAACTGGGAGAGTGGAAAAAAAGAAAAGTTGAAATAGTTGCAGTTATGTGATTTTCTGCTTAGTGACAGTTTCATTTAGCAATCAAACTGCTGGTCCCAATTTGATTGCTAAACGAGGGCTACCTGTATTACAATAATACTTGTTTTCTACTGAGGTTAGGCTATGAATAAGTTTTAGCTTTTTTTGTCTTCAGACTCTCTGATCTGAGGGGAAAAAGAAGATATAATCTTTGTCCTATAAGTTTGACCCCAACCTTGGTTAATACATTTAGCAAAGATAGATAGCAAAATTGTAATATATACATATATATACACACACATACACATATATACACACACATATACATGTAACATACATACATACATATATACATACTCTTTGATCCTCTGCTTATATTATTATTAGTGCCAGTTTTCTCCCCTCCCCCCAGCTTATTCTTGAAAGTTCTGAAATGAAAGTATTGCACAATGATTGCTGTTACTATTTTGGATTTGTTTTGGAAAATTAATTGATTTTATAAATTGTTTTTGAACTAATGGCAGAATTGTTTGCAAAACATAAGTATGCATTTTGGGCACAATTTCTTGAGTATGATGCAATGTATGCTAGAAGTTTAAATAGCTAGATGAAGTTAAACTCAGCTTTGGTTTTGGATAGTGCAGGTATACTATATTATCTGTGCTGCTAATAATCTGAATAGATCATAACTGTAGACTAAGATGTTACTATGATTTGCCTACATGAGATGTCAATGTTAGGTAGTTTGCTTATTCTACCACTTTTCCCTGTCTAATGGGGCAGAAACATTTACCTCTTATCTGATCTCAGAAACTATGATTGGAGTAAACTAATATTAAAACTAAAATAAATACAAAATTATCACTGATGGATTGCTACAATTCAGGAATGGAAACTTCAAACCATCCATTCTGTGGTAAGAAAGAATGGTACATCATAATTTAATGGAAATTAGTGTAGAGCATCAGGAATGGTATATGGAAAAAATATATGGAACTTGTATTGATTCTGACAAACAAGTTTAGAAAGAGTGGTTTTAAGGCTACAAAAATATGAATAATCTATTACAGCTGTTTTATATAAAGTTATTCTATATAACCCCCCAAAAAAATATATTAGTAAAATAATTGGCTATAGTTTTCTGCATAAATGCTCATGTAATTGTAGATATGCATAAACAGTAACTCATATATTCATTTTCTCCCACTTGACAAGTTGCTGTGAGTATCCTATATTATAACAACTAGGTTAAAATATCAGAATAGAAAAACTAAAAGCAAATAATAAAACAGCTGCATTGAGGGAAGACAGTAAGCAATATTTTAGCAGGTTCACAAATTGTCCCTGTCCAAATTATGTTAATCTCTTACATAATCACTTAATTCTAGGATTATGAGAATTCAAAGAAAGAAAATAGTCCCCTGGTAAATTATAGAAACACTGTGATAGTATGCATACTATTTGTTAATATAAATGTATTGATATTTCTAAAATATTTCATATACTTTTTGGCTCCTTCTCAACTTCTGAAATTTCTAGAATATGAAAAAAGCAGAAAATATGGAGCTGTAAGGGTTTGGAAAATGAAAGGCAAAGTCCAAAGTTCAAAATACACTGGGGTTGATTGGGGGTGCACTCATTTTTATTACTAGAATACATTTCTATATGAAATCCCTTGAAAATAGTCATAAAAGGCAAAAGAGGATAATTGAAAACAGAATTTCCTAGCAAGGGAAATTTTAGGCTCAATTGTGGTATTTCATAATTAATATTGCTATGAGTACTTGAGATAGTGATCAGTGTTAGCTGTTCGAAGTTTCACAGATTTTTATACATTTTATAAAGTAAATGCAAACATAACTAGCCCATTATATTTTTTGTTTATTTTATGAAATTGATTTGCTAAATATTTGTTTAATGTAATTAATTTATGAATGTTTTAATGTTTGATTTTTTAAAAAAATGTATTTATATTTCAGATCATTCAGTTTTCCTTGCGTGACTATGTCCAGTATTGGTATTATACACTAAGTGATGATGAATCTTTTCTTCTTGAAATCAGGCAGACTCTCCAAAATGCACTAATTCAGTTTTCTTCTCGGTAAGAATTATTTTCAGTAGTTTTCAAACAAGTCTGTAAAAATCTCCCAATATTTTATAAAAGAAGATTAAACGAGTTTATAGCAATTACATGTGAGTATCCTCAAACACATGTTATTTACAAAAACTACATAGGTATTTCACAAAACAATATTGTTACAGGTTGTCTTTGCTTAATAAGCATAATGAACTTAATCAAGTTCAGAGACTAGAAATTACATTGTTGCTGAATGAAAGGACCTATGACCCATACTCGAAGTTATGGTCACTGCAGACCTCCACAGTCATGTGATTGCAGTCTGGTTTCTTGGTAATCTGTTCACGCTTATGATTGGTTACCAGGCATCTCATGATCATGTGATCGGCATTTGTTATCTTCCCTGCTGGTTTCTCCAGACAGTTTGTGGGAAAGCCAGTAGGAAAGGCTGCTGCCTGCAAAGAGGATTTCCTCTGGTTTCTGCAGGATGACTGAAAAACATTCATGCAACATTTTGAACATTTGCAGCATGGGGCATTTGCAGCCAGCTCTCAGAACAAGAGAGAGATTTGTTGTCACTGGTGGCTGGTTTTAAATGCCCCATACTGCAAATAGTCCATGCCAAAATCATGCTTGGATTTCAAGATGGATCCAGCATGGGCCATTTGCCAGATCCCAGAGATAGCTCCCCCTCGTTTATGAGGCTGATTGCAAACAAATATCCTATGTTGCAAATACTCCGTGCCTTAGTCCTGTTGGCTTTTGGAAAGGAGAAAATTACAGTAATTTTATTATTTTCTGATATTAATTTGTGTATAAGCAATTAATATCTGATATGAAAAACCATTGTTGAAAAATTGCTTGTATCATATGAGGAACGCTTCATTTAATCTCAGCTTTTTTCTGAACACTACTTCAATTTCACTGGATTAAACTTCTAGAAAGCATGAAGTGATATGGAAAATCACAGAAAACAGTACTTTTTAAAAAAGTAAGTTGAACATAATCTTATGCTACAGGAAGTTCTCAATTTATGACCATTTAATGACAGTTCAAAGTTATAACAGTATCAGAAAAAATGACTTATAAACCATGTTCAGAGTTACAACCATTGTACCGCACTCACGGTCACGTGATTGCAGTTTGGACAGTTGGCAATTACCTCACATTTATAGCAGTTGCAGACTCCTGCAGTCAAGTGTTCATGATTTGGATCTTCCTAGCTTGCTTCTAGTAAAGTCAATTGTGAAAGCCATATTCACTAAACGACTGTGTGATTCATCTTAACAACTGGATAAAAATACTCGCAGAATTGAGTCCATTCACATAATTTGCTTAACAATCAAAATTCCAATGCCAATTTTCATAAGTTGAGGGCTACCTAAAAATGCTAAGAAGAAGATAACCTTAGTACTCACTATTCAGTACTTTTAAAAAATAATCCTAGTTTTCATGGAAGTTGTTGGGTTATTGACTTTTGTTCAGAAGATCTGCTTTCAGTGTTTTCACTAAAAAAACTAAACATCTTTTAAAAAGTAGCATTAATTGCCCTAAGTTGATGTGAAGAGTTAACTATAATTTAAACATCTATGCATTTTATCAAAACCTAAAGTTAATTTCAGTGAGATTTAGGTGGAATTCAGGGATGGAGTTATTGCTAATTAGCCATTTATGAATCATCATCATTGCCATAAAACATAGCTTTCATACTAAGAACTTCAGTTTGTATTACTGTACAGAGGGAGCTTTGTGACATAAAAGGATTAACATAATAGTCTGTTGGCAGAAAAATACAGTGCCAAGTCTCATGAGGCCCTTTATGCCATCTCTTTGATTCTGTCTTGGGTAATAGTTTGGAAAAGCTGGAAATTTCAATGATAAATTGGAGCCCTTTTTTGTATATGATGCTGTGTAAGAATAATTTCTGCAACGTGCATTACAATGAAAAACATCCCTCAAACTTAGGAAGTGAATGTGGACTGTATATTAGCTCCTTTCCTCTTCAGTTTTTATATAAATTCTGTCGCGCAGGTGGTTAGAAACCCCTAAAACCATTTCTTATCTCTGGCATCTTTTAGGTAAATAATATTGTCATGTTATTTTTTTAAGTAGTGGAACTAAGCGCATTGGGCTCTTTCACAGTGAATTATGAAGAAATGGATTCACTCTAAATTAGTCTAAAAGCAAAGTAAGATTTTTGATATAAAGGCAGATTAGTTGCTGTACTATTCAGCAAGTGAAATAATAAAAACTAAATTGTATTTTAGGGGTACATTGGTGCTTTCTGGATTTGATGGTTTTCTTGTAGACATTTCATTACCCAAACTAGGTAACATCATCAGTACTACTCACTATATTTTAGGATTTAGGGAGATAGAATTCTCAATCCCACAGCACTGGCCACTTAGGTTTGGTGATTTTTTTTGTTATTAATCAAATGTATTGCCAATTTATATCCACAGCGTTCTGAATTTTCCAAAGGAAAACAATTGCCCAGTTTCTTTATGGTGCAGACCTATAATAAGGAACACCTTCATCATCTTGAGAAATTCTTAATGGCAATGTTTTATATTCTCTGTTGTATTCAAAATGTTTCACTACAAATTAAAGCTACGGTAGCTTTATTTTGCAGAAGCCTGGCTTTGGCAAAGCAGATTCATGAATTGGCTGAAGTTAATATATTGTGTAGAAGGCTATCGCCTTAAGTCTTTATGATCAATGTCATTCCAGCTGGATAATTTTGTTGAAATCAAACTGAGACCTTTCTCCATTTTGTATGACATTTGGATATACAAAAGCCAAACAAACTGTAAAACAGCATCTATGAGATATTAAATCAAAATGATCTTAGCAAAACAGTACATGTTATTGTAATGTCAAAAATCTAACTATAATCTAATTATAATCCAATGAACAAGTTAAGATCAGAGAAAAGTGTCAATTTGTATTAGAAATCTGTTATTTAATACATTGTCATTTTTTTTTTATTTTTAAGGACAAAAGAAATAGATTGGCAGCCTTATTTTACTACTCGAATTGTAGATGATTTTACTACTCATCTGAGAGTATTCAGAAAAGCTCAGCAAAGAATATGTGAAAGAGATGATCAGATTAAAGGTACTGCCTAAATATGTTCTCCTTATAGTAATGTTATAATAAATTAAATGAAGGCAGTTTCTTTTCTAAGTCGCATTAATTCAAATCTGTCTATGTATAAAGTTATTACTATTTTTATATTTATTTTATTATATTTATAAGGCCATCTAATTTTGATGCAATTCAAGGTGTTGTACAAAAACGTTAACACAATGTAACAATAAAATAATATTGTAAACATAATAGACAGGCATCCAGAGAGTATGAAAACTTGAAACCAATACTAAATCGGTGAATTCACAAATCATCCTGATACAATGCCTACTGGAAAAGTTAAGTCTTTAAGACTTGCCTGAAAGTCATGGCCATATGGATCTCAGGATCAATGCTGTTTCAGAAGTAGAACAGCGATACAGAAGGTACACCTTGTTTTTTCCACTAAAAATTCCTTAATTCAGTAACTGTTCTGTTTGCCTTACAGATAAATAGCATATTGTATATGGCATGCATTGTACTGCTTGACACAGAAACATGCTCCACCACTATTTTTTTCTGCTTTCTTCATCCTTGCCCTGATTTTAGGCTTCCCTATATTATACCTTATGTTTTTTAAGGGAAGATAGAGGCAATTGCAAGGGAATTTAAAGGGAGGGATTAGAACATTTTGGTTATGTAAGTCCAGCATTGGATTCCTGCATAAACAGAAATCACTGGCCAGAGATAGATGTGCCTTCTGTAGAAAAGCTTTCTTGTTTAATTTCTATTCAGCCAGAACTCATACAGTGAAGGAAAAAATTATTTGATCCCCTGCTGATTTTGTATGTGTGCCCACTGACAAAAGAAATAATCAGTCTATAATTGTAACGGTAGGTTTATTTTAACAGTGAGAGACAGAGTGGAATAAGTATTTGATCCCCTATCAATCAGCAAGATTTCTGGCTCCCAGGTGTCTTTTATACAGGTAATGAGCTGAGATTAGGAGCACTCTCTTAAAGGGAGTGCTCCTAATCTCAGCTTGTTACCTGTATAAAAGACACCTGTCCACAGAAGCAATCAATCAATCAGATTCCAAACTCTTGGCCAAGACCAAAGAACTGTCCAAGGATGTCAGGGACAAGATTGTAGACCTACACAAGGCTGGAATGGGCTACAAGACTATTGCCAAGCAGCTTGGTGAGAAGGTGACAACAGTTGGTGCGATTATTCGCAAATGGAAGAAACACAAAATAACAGTCAATCTCCCTCGGTCTGGGGCTCCATGCAAGATCTCACCTTGTGGAGTTTTAATGATCATGAGAACAGTGAGGAATCAGCCCAGAACTACATGGGAGGATCTTGTCAATGATCTCAAGGCAGCTGGGACCACAGTCACCAAGAAAACAGTTGGTAACACACTATGCCGTGAAGGACTGAAATCCTGCAATGCCCTCAAGGTCCCCTGCTCAAGAAAGCACATGTACAGGCCAGTCTGAAGTTTGCCAATGAACTCAACTCGCCATGTTTGGAGGAGAAGGAATGCTGTCTATGACCCCAAGAACACAATCTCCACCGTCAAACATGAAGATGGAAATATTATGCTTTAAGGATGTTTTTCTGCTAAAGGGACAGGACATCTTCATTGCATCAAAGAGATGATGGACAGGGCCATGTACCATCATATCATGAGTGAGAACCTCCTTCCCTCAGCCAGGGCATTGAAAATGGGTCATGAATGGGTATTCCAGCATGACAGTGACCCAAAACACACGGCCAAGGCAACAAAGGAGTGGCTCAAGAAGAAGCACATCAAGGTCCTGGGGTGGCCTAGCCAGTCTCCAGACCTTAATCCCGTAGAAAATCTGGAGGGAGCTAAAGGTTCGAGCTGCCAAACATCAGCCTCGAAACCTTAATGACTTGGAAAGGATCTGCAAAGAGGATTGGGACAGAATCATTCCTGAGATGTGTGCAAACCTGGCGGCCAATTACAAGAAACATCTGACCTCTATGGTTGCCAACAAGGGGTTTGCCACCAAATACTGTCATATTTTGCAAAGGGGTCAAATACTTATTTCACTCATTAAAATGCTAATCAATATATAACTTTTTTGAAATGCATTTTTCTGGATTTTTTTGCGGTTATTCTGTTTCTCATTTTTAAAATAAACCTACCATTACAATTATAGACTAATCATTTCTTTGTTAGTGGGCAAATATACAAAATCAGCAGGGGATCAAATAATTTTTCCCCTCACTATAACCCTGGATGGAAGGAAAACAACTTGAAGGGATAGAGTATATCAACTGCTGGTCTTGAATGTAGAATATTTTGGCCCTCTTCACATGATTTGCAAAGTAATTAAAAAGAAATGGAAATACAGGATATGCAATACAGTACAGTCTAGCAAATAACAGTTTGCTTCCTACTACACAAACCAGTAAGAATTATTCTTTTTTGCTTTGTGTTATACATTCAAACACAAGAACATATTCCTTGCTATCTTTTGCCTGATGTGGAAGACACTATCTACACTGTATACTGTAAATGCAGTACAGCTGTATATACAATGTATTCTTCGAAATTGACAGTAAGTCTCTTCATTAGCAACTGGATACCTTTGAAAATGTAGGAAAAAATAATTAAATTATTAAACTATATATAAATAGTTCATAAATGTTAAAATAACAAATGTTAATAAGGAGGAGAAATATTAATGCAATTACTTCAGTAATAGGGATAATTGCAGACCAAATTCTTCTAGATAAAATCTGCTCAAGTTTCCAATTTTGGTGTAGATGGAGCAGAAGATCTTGTAGATACATTTTTTGAAGTTGAAGTTGAAATGGAAGAGACCATCTGTCGTGATCTAGTCTGCACATCTCCCAAAGATGAAGAAGGTATATGATTATTTTCTTTCTTAATTATACTTTAAATGAAATGTGCTGATCATCATCTATATTATACAGTATAGACATAGATAACTTTTTATTAAGCTTTAAAACATAACAGGATAAAAATAGTAGCTATTAATTATGTGCAAATTATATGACTATATAATTAATTATAAAAGGATTATATACTTTAAAAGAAAGAATATGATTGTACGACTGGTGAAAAATTAAAAGTCTGTAGTGAACTATTTAAGGGAAGAAGAAATTACTTGATTTCACTAAATGTCTATATTGATAGTTATTTGGTGGTCAATAAGCATTTTTATATCATAGATATGACATTTAATTCTACTGTTGGGAAAAGGAATACTATTTTTATACTATTTTTTCTTTAGAAATGTTGCAAAATGTTTCCAATGTTTAATCCTATCACTAAACTTATCTAAAGTTTAGATGTATATTTACATCTAAAATCGTCAATGGTATTTGAAGTATGTAAAAACTTGGTAGATAGGTGGATGGATGGATAGATGAATATTACTAGATTTTGATACACATTCTTACCTTGTACTTTTAGGATTCCTAAGGGATCTGTGTGAAGTTTTACTGTATTTATTGCTACCTCCCGGGGACTTCCAGAACAAGATCATGAGATATTTTGTCAGGGTAAATTTAATTTCATATTATATCACTGCAGTAATCTAATATTCTTTAGCCTAAGAGCTGCATAATATTTATATAATAATATAAATATTATTTAAATATTTATATAAATATAAATAATGTTTATATAATAATATATATAATTTTTAAATAATTATTAAATATAATATTCATTAGCACTATCTGAAAATAAAATGGGCAGTCTATAGTTGAGAACTTGTTTTTAAAGAAGTCCCAGAGATTGACCAAGTTCATTTTGCTCTTCATTCTTTTACATCAACATGGTATTGAGTCATCTTTTGAACAAGAGCTCTGATTGAGGCAAAAAAACATCTGCCTGGAAAATACAGGAAGCATGCATTAATTCTCTGCTATTTCTAATACTTCTGTATCTAATAATTCTAGACATCTTACATAACTGTATACAGGTAGTACTCAAATTACGAATGTAATGGTGCCTGCCCATTACATTCATAACCCAAGGATTTGTTGGAGTGAATCACATAAAATGAATGTGAAAACACCTGCTTTTACCCGCACATTCGCTAATCGAATGTGCAGTTGGTTAAGTGCACAGGAGGTATCTCAGGGTGGGGAAGGCCATGGGCGGGCCTACTGATAAAACAGGCCAGCTGTTTAAGTCCACCCAAGGCTTCACCTGACCCACTGAGATACCTCATGTTCCCCATAATTGCTCCTTCCATCCTGCCGTGCCAGGTTTCCACAGGAACTGGACCTGTGGAGACTCACCTTGCGAAGATCTAGTGAGCTGTCCCTTCTCCAGCCTTTCTGTCACGGTTTCTGTGCGTGCTCCTGGCGCTCCAAAAGCGGAGTGGGGAGATCAGGACGAGTGCGCCCTGCTTGGTTTCTTGAGTCACCGAGGCTGCATGCCACATGTGGAACTTTGAGTCTCCCCCAAAGGCTTCTAGTCTCGGCACGAAAAGTGTTTGCATGTCGACGGAAGAGGTTGGGGCAGTGAAATCATGTTGCCTCAAAGTGTCCCATTGGCTTGCAAACTTTTGCCCAGAGCCTGGAAGCTTCTGGGCACTGTGATCTTATGGGTCTTCAGTCCACCATTCTCTGCAAAAGTGGATGGAGGGAAGAGGCAGGGCGAATGTTACAGTGCCTCTGTGGTTGTTTATAAGGGTGAATAACTGTCATGGTGCTGCAAAATTCATAACTTCGGGACTGTCATAAGTAGTTGGGTTATGTCACAACTTTGAACAGTCACTAAATGAACTGTTGTAACTCAAGGATTACCTGTATAAGAATACAGATAACTTTGTTGTGTGCATATCATTCCTTTTATTTAAAATAATTTTAGTGGTTCCTTTAAAAAAGTCACACTACTGTCATTTTCTCATTCAGTCACATTTGGATATATGTTTATGAGCCAGGCTACATTATAATTTTTTGTTTTCAGTTTTCTCTGCTTTATGGTTATTTATTTATTGGTTCAATCTGGAGTGACTATGGGGGGTTTATTTATATTAAATATTTTACATAGTAGAATATCTCTATGCTTGACTTGTGTCACTGAAATGTTTTAGACGATTTATAATAAAAAATAATAAAAAAATTAGATACTTTGCTACCTGCTATATATTTATTTTTATTGTTTTTCATATTTTTTTCTTCATATTATCTAATGGTAATTTTATACTATAAATGCAGAGTTGTTGTACCTGCATACTCTTGAAGAGACTTATATCTGAAGTGTTTGCTTTTACAACCATTAATACATTTGGGGTAGGAGAGTTCTGTTTGAAATGAAGCTTCTGTGGACTGATTTGTTATATGTAGAGTATTTATTTGACATCATTGGTTTTCTCCCTGCTACCCTGAAAAAAAAGACAATGATGAGAAAAACTGTAACAGACACTGCATCAGCTTTTGCTTCATGCTAAACATAAATGAATTAAAGCTAATCTTATTAGATTCTAGTCTAATAATTATAGATTATGTTTTATTTTGTGTTTTGCAAAATGCAGCCACACTTATACACAAGTTCTTGACCTATGGCCATTCATTGAATGACAGTTTTACATTATGACAATCCATTCTCAAAGTTGTGACTGTTACATTCCAAATCACAGCGACATGATTGCAATTTGGGCACTTGGCAACTGGCTTGCTTTTACAATGATTGCAGCACCTTTCAGTGATTTGTGACTTTCCCAACTGGCTTCCAACAAAGTTAATTGAGGAAGTCAGATTCACTTAACAAATCTATGATTCACTTAATCTTGTGATTCATTTAACTGCAATAAAAATGGTTGTAAAATTGAGTCTGGTCATGTGAAGACTCGCTTAACGATCATATTGTTTAGAGCACAGGTGTCAAACTCGCGTCAAGTGACGAGTTGTGATGTATCACGACTTTTTTCACATTGCCGGAGCTGGGGTGGATGTCGCCTCCGCATGATGCAACCAGCCCACAGGCAATTCCAGTCCTAATTGTGGTAGTAAGTTGAGGATTCTCTGTATAAAAAAACCCAGGATAAAATGATAATGATGATTGTAATAATGTATCATCTTTTTTTCCAGCTCTGTCACCACTAATCAACTATTTTGCCACTGTATTTTCAAGAGCTACTGCTCTACTACCTTTCTTTTACCACTTTTAATAACTATAGTTATCTTCTCAGTTTAAACATATTTTTAACACAACATCCTCTTAAGTAAAGTTTTAATTCTATGCCAGCATCCTTCTCTCTTTAAAATGTATAAAGTGGTTGGGACTTCTGATATCTCCTAAAATTCATAAAATGAAGTCCATAATATGATATTTGTTTGAAAGTAATCTAGCGGAACTTGGGTGATCTTGAAAAGCTAAGCAAGATCTGATCTAGTTAGTTAAACAATAAAGCTGTAAGATAGATTGGAAAATTAGAAAATATTCTGGAAAAATGCTGTAGCAAACACGCAAATATTTTATCAGACTCTTTTTCCTGAGGTAAGCGGGACCTACAGATAGTCCTTGACATTTGACGTTGGTTCAAGGACAGTTCAAACTTACAATGGCCTCAGAAAAAGTAATTTATAACCTGTCCTTGAACCTAATTACATCATTCCTCTAGTGACATAATCGCATTTCAGATGCCTGATAAACAGCTTACATTTACAACCAGTTCAATATCCTACATTCATGTGATGGTGATTTGTGACTTTTCTTGCCAGTTTCTGGCAAGTAGTATTAATTGGGGGATGGATTTGCTTAACAATCATTTATGTAACAAACCATGGTGATTTGCTTAATGATCATAGTAAAAATGGTTGTAAATGTGTATCCAGTCATATTCTGATCACAATTGAGGTTGTAAATGGAGGAGAACTGTAATTTGGTGTTGCATAGAATAAAACACTACAATTAATTTATACTGTAAAAATGCAGGTTTTAAAATAGCACCATTACATGTTTCATTATTAACAATAACTATTGATATGTAGCCATTAGCTGTTATCATGGCATTTAAAACCATGATTAGGAAAAAATGCTTCAGACTTCATATTTGTGTCATCTGTCTGTTATTCAGCAAGGTAGCCTAATTTTTTTGCAGCAGTATCTTCAGGCTTGAACAGAGCCCTAAAATTTGTCAGACTACTGAATGAATAGTAAAGAGTTGCTGCACTAATTCTTTTTCTACATCATTTTCAAAATGTAGACAACCCAGGTGATAGTAGGCTATCTCTAACTAATCTGTTGCATAAAATATTAATGAAAACTAGTTTTTATCTGCACTGTTTTTTCAGTATGCAAACTATATACAGTTATCTTCATTACATTTTTATTGTATTAAATATCTATGAGATTCTATTGTTAAAAAACTTTACATTGAACAGACTTAAGATTCAGAGACTAACAAAATTAGTCTTTTTTCAGGCTAATTTTTATTATCCAGTTATGATGACAAGAAGATGAATGGGATTGCATCATAGCATTTATTGTTATCATGGATAGTATGTTTGTATTGAGAAAATCTACTGAATATGTCTTTTTGCAGTGGTCCTCGAAAACAAGGAAGAATTGGACAGTAGTCTTTCTTCAGAGACCTGAACAAACATAGTTATCAAATATAAATATCTTGTATTTCAAGAATACAGGATTGTCAAAAAATTTTGAAAAAGGAAAGTTAATTCAGAATCAATATTTACGTAGGTCATATTTCAGACCTTTCATTTTTTCTTGCAATCTTAGTTCCTGTTCATCTTTTCAGCATTCCTCCTCTTTCCTTCATAGAAATCTCATTGTTTGGGTGAAAAGTTCAAACTAGTAATTCAAGGCCAAGATGTTGGTATAGATTCTGTAATTTGAAATCAGGATAGTAGGGGTCTTAAATAATTAGTAGTGTATTTAAATAATTTAAGTACTGAGTTGTGTGGATTCTGCAGTGCTTATAGAACATGGGGACAGTGTATGCAGCCATTCTTTGTATTAAATTGGAGTGGAAGATGATTAATGAAAAAGGATTTCAGTTTAATTATGTTCTTATTGGATTTGATACTTAGAGTTAAAAAGTGCTTGTGCTTACTTAGGATATAAATCTGAAAACTGGCTGCTACTTAATGAAAATAATCCTTAAAGTATATTAAATGTATTTTTCAAAATATATGAAAGATTTTTCATTCATTCATTCAATTTGTATAGCCACAGTAGGTCTAATTTTACTGTCCATTTTTTTCAGGAAATCCTTTCTCAAGGAATTCTTCTTCCATTAATAAATCAGCTCAGTGATCCTGATTATATTAATCAGCATTTCATATGTATGGTAAGTTATTTAAAAAAAATTGGTACATAAAGCCAAACCTGGCAATGCAGGAACCAACAATTTTCAGGCTAAACAGATTAGTTAAGTAAATATATCTCAGCTTCAACTGCCTCCTATTCTTGAAGACAGCAGCAAAATTGATTCAGAAAAAGCAGGAGTAAAAAAATAATAATCTTGGAGATGATGGATGGATGCAGGATAGACAGATAACAGATAGATAAAACATGGATGGATAATTTGGATACTGTATATAAACATGGCTAGAGAGATAAATAGATAAATATGTATGAAAGTATATATTTGCATTTGTAATATAAAGGTAAACCCAATTTTTCTTCAAATTCAAGTCTGTATTCATTATTAATAGTCCTTATCAACCACAATAGGCACCAGCAATTCTGCCACTAAGTGGTGCAGTCATTTAGCATCGTGTTACATGATCAGGCTGACATAGAACATAAATTCTTGCTAAGATCAGTAAACAACTGGTGGTTATTAAGTGTGATGTTACATGATCACAACTTGCCATTTCCTGTCAGCTTCTTCATTGAATTTGCTTGTTGGAAGGTAGTGAGATGCTGCTATCATCAATGTGGGCAGGTTCCAAACACCCAAATCACGATCTATGACCATGGGGATGCCAGAACTTTGAAGACTAATCGTAAATCTTTGTTTTCAGTTATAAGTTTGAACAATCATTGAATGAGTGGTTAGTAAGCGAAGACTACCTATATTTGTATGTTGTTGTCTATATTTTCTAAATAAGAAATGAGTGAATATTGTAGATACATAATTTGGCTACATTAGGGTTCATACTTAGTGAGGAAAGACAGTTTTATAGGTAACAAATACCCTGACACTTATAACCTCTCAGATTGTGATTGTTGTCTATTTTCAACATTAATGTACTTGATGTACTCATTTAAACCCTGAACTACTCGATGAATATTTTCCTTTATTGGAATCATGGATTACTATATATATATACATAGTAAATGCAGACTTTAAAAGCAAGTTCTTATTTATATATAAAATTCACATCTGAAAAATGTGTTTTTATAAACTTTTTCTTTCTCACATATTTCAGATTCGTGATTCAATTTGCAATTATGAGGCCTTTATGAACATAGTTAAAGTAAGTGATAAAGTAGGAGAGTTAGAAGCAGTAAGAGATAAAGCCACAGAAGAACTGCAGTATCTTCGTTCCTTGGATACAGCTGGAGATGGTTGGTATTGTTATGTTTACATTTACAATTATTATATAACCATAAGATGCTATTTTTTCTTCACGTAGCATTCTCTTAGAAGTTAGAAGGTTATAATCTTTCTTAAGGGACAAATTTTCTACCTAAGAATAAGATAACTTGAGAATTTTGAGAAAAGCCAGAATTTAAGATGTAGAATGAAGATGCAGGTAGCCTTGCAATTATTAATTATGTCTCATATAAGCTTCTTGGATAGCTAGATAAATTTCCATAACTGACTTTTGGAATAATAAGAAACTTTCCTCTCTTGAATAACAAGCTATTTATGATTTTATCCCATTTTTGTTATGTCATGGAATTTAAATCTGCATATAAGCTTATCAAGATGGGATATCATTTAGTTGGAAGCCATGTGCTATATGCATAAAAGTTCTATTAAGAAACTAATTCCAGTAGGCATTGTAAAGGGAAAAGAATTTTGTAGGTAATTGTATGCTGTGGAAATGCTTGTTCTGGCAAATTGTGGAATACAGTCTGGATTTCCAGGAGGAGTGGCATCTTTCCAGAAGGTAAAGTGGCTAAAGAACTTGAAAAGTTTGGTCAATAAGAAGAGGATTAAAATGGCTCCTCCCTCACGATTCTCATAGTGTATCTCTAGCTATGCAAATAGTTATTTTAGTCTGGCAAGATTCTGTCTATAGGTAAAAACAATAAAGAAACCTACTGTTATGTAATTCCAAATGCCATTCTTGGTTCTTAGCACCTGAAACAAATTTAATTTATGCATCTGTAAGGGTTAAACATTATTTTAAAAGACTATTTTGTTTTAAAATGAGTTTTTCATCATAGTTAATGTTACGCGCAATCATGAAGTAATCCTTAAGTTTTCAAAAGTTGTACTTATATATATACAGTAAATGCAGTGCATTTATGTCTATAATGTAGCTCATGATTTTAAAGTATAACTCATTTAGAATGAAAGCTAGGTTTTAAAATATTTTCTCATATTTTTCTCATAGAAAAATATAAGAATATATTCTACTCCAATAGTTCACAAAACCCAAATTTTCATTGCCAGCACATATTAATTTGATTAATAGTTCTTATCTTTAACAGCATTGATTCCATTTTTTTAAAAAAAACTTTTTTTTTCTTCAAAGAGTTTTGATTGTTTTCTCCTACTCTGTAGTCTTGAGCAATACATTTATAATTTATTAGGAATTTAAATGGATGTGTTTTATCCTTTTAAATCTTACTTTTTCTTTTCAGATATTAATCATATTAAAAATCAGATAAATAGCTTACTCTTTGTTAAGAAAGTATGTGATTCAAGAATACTAAGGCTACAGTCAGGAAAAGTAAGTATGTTTAATGTATTGCAATTATACATAAGTATCTGAGCCAACTATGAGACTTGATTTTTTTTTATATTCAAATTTTTATTGATTTTCAAATAAACAAGTTACAAATATGGTATACATTAACAAACAAGAAAAAAAACCTATATCTATTCAGAGATGCTCAGCAGCCCCCCCCCGCCTACGTCCACCCTTTCTTTCACCCTTCCTGCCTACTTCCCTCCTCCTCTCTTCTCCTCCTACCTATACCTCTCTCCTCCTCCCTCCTCTCAACTACCCTACACATCCCACCTCCTTCCTTTCCTCATCCTTCGGACGCAGTTTGGGGGCGCCAGCCGAGCATCTCATCTTTTTCAAATACATTATTTCACTATAACATTTTAATACACCAAAATTTACATTTACATCTTTGATCCCCTCCCCCCTCCCCCCCCTGGACTTCCCAGAACCGAATACAGGGTTATGCACATGTCATCCCAGATCTAAATAAAACTACCCAAACATAATACAATCAAATATTAACATACTTTAACTCTAATAAAAAAATATCAACTTAAGATAAATATAAAATATGTATAATATAATAAATAAATAAAAACAATATAAAATCTACTCAAAAGCTATATAATATTTATTCACTTCGTACTTTCTCTGAATATAATCTATCCATCTTCTCCAAACCAAAATAAATTTTTCTTGAGATTGATCTTTCAAATATACGGAAATCTTTGCCATTTCTGCAAAATACGACACCTTTAATCTCCAATTAAAGCTTACTCTTTGTTAAGAAAGTATGTGATTCAACAATACTAAGGCTACAGTCAGGAAAAGTAAGTATGTTTAATGTATTGCAATTATACATAAGTATCTGAGCCAACTATGAGACTTGATTTTTTAAATCAAATAATAGAGCTCAGTATTATTAGACTCTTTTGTATTGTTTTCAATAGCTGCTGTATATCAGTAACTTGAATTTGTCAGGTTAGGTTCTCATTTCAGATCCGTCTAAAAAAGAGTTATTAGTTTTGCTATATATCTGATTGCTACTGAACTAAGATCCGGGCTCAAGATAAAGAATCTACTGCCAATGCATTATCAAGCAAACTTTTATTTCTGAATCTCTATATCTAAAATCTTATAAGAAGACAACATTCCTGATTTTTATATGTAGCAAAAATAAGGCATGTTGTATAAATATTGCATAGCCATGTCTATTAATGTATTGTATTTTTATTCAGGAAATAGATACTGTGAAACTGGCTGCAAATTTTGGAAAACTTTGCACAGTCCCTCTGGACAACATTCTAGTAAACAATATTGCACTACAGTTTTTTATGGGTAAGAAAACAATAGTTGGAAATGCATATATATTGCATGATTAAAACTAGCACTGTAATAGGATGCTATAGGTATGCATGTATTTACCTAAAAATACATAAATATAATTGATGTGAGGGCTTTTTTGATCCCATTTATTTTAGTAGGTTTGCTTTTTTTTAATATGCCAAACTGATTTAATGAACAGATGACTGTTCCTCTTTCCCAAATATCCACACAGTTAAGTTAACTCTAGACCAGGGGTGTCAAACTGCTGGCCCACAGGCCGGATGCGTCACACGGAAGCTGTGCCCACCCCAGCTCCAGCAAGGGGAAAAAAGTCACAATATGTCATGACACGTCACACGATGCGGCAAGTTTGACATCCCTGCTTTAGACCATAGAAATGAAAAAAATTCTGTCATTAACTAGAATAAGTTTGAGTATTTTATGCGCATTGGATAAAGTTTAGATGGTATTAGTCTTTCATCCATTAAAAATATCAAGCAAAATAAAATAAATCAACCTACTGAGATTTGCATATAAGTGTTTAAAAACAATCTTCTATTTGAACATTCATATCAATCTGAATATGCATGAAATTAATAAAAAAATTTCAATTTAGAAAAAAATTGCTTTACTCACAGTACTCTGTTGAAATATGCTTGAGTTGGCTGCATTATCTCAATAGAAAAATTTGAATAGCTTGAATGTTTCATGTATTATCAGGCCACATCTTTTTTATTTTTTATTTTATTTTTTAGTAGGTTTTTTCATGTTTACAGTTCTTAAGTGCTTAATAAACAATATGTTGTCTGGGTCTTAGCTTAATATATATTAAAATTCTAATTTCTACTCTGTTTTTCCAGCCACTGATAAAATACATCCCATATTTGAAAATATTCTGTATCTTCTTTTTCTTTAATCTCCAATGTAAGTCTATCCATTTCTGCACATTCCAGTGTTTTCTTAATTATGTCATCTTCAGATGGTGTTTCTTCATTTTCCAATGTTGCGCAAAAACAATTCTTGCTGTGGTTAATACATATACCATTAAGTATACATTTTCTTTCTCATATTTTTCTGAAATTATACCTAATAAAAATAGTTTCGGCTTAAAATCTACACGTATTTTTAACATTTTTTTAACCAAATAAGAACTTTTGTCCAAAATTTTTTCCTTTAGGGCACATCCACCAAAGATGATAATACGTGCCTGGTTTTTGCCTACATTTCCAACAATTGCTGGATACATTTTTAAACATTTTTGCTAGCCTAGCAGGTGGTAATTTTGTATAAATTTTCTTTATATGCAGTTGACATTGTTATTTTATAGTTTTCCCCCAAAGGTTTTGCCAGTTTTTTAACCCTATATTGTGCCCAAATTTTTTAGCCCACGTTATCATTGCTTCTTTTACTTGTTCATCTTCCATCTTTAAGCTTAATAAAAAATTATACAATTTCTTAATCAGTTTTTCATTTGATGTCAATAATACCTGATCAAACCTTGTCTAGTCTTTATAAAAACCATGTTTTGACATCTTTCTCATACGTTGTTTGTATTTGCAAATGAGGCCCCCATGATAAACCAGTGCCCTGTTTTTTCAACTCTTGTTTAGTTTTTAAATTCTCTTCAATATTCAAGATGTCTTTGTAAGTTACAATTTTCTCAGAGTTAATTAAATTTGGGTGAGTGAACTTTTGCATTGTTGAAAGCCACTCTGGTATTTTCATATAAATTTTCGTTTTTATCTTTTCCCATACTAAAAATAAAGCATTTCTTACATAATGATTTTGGAAATATCTATGAATTTTGTTCTTCCCTTACCATAGAAAAGTATGTCATCCCAGTTGTAGGTCATGTCCTTCTAAGTATAATAGCCTTTTATGCCTAAAAGTAATCCATTCCTTTAACAGTGCACATGCTTGGTAGTATAAAACCCAGTCAGGGAGTCCAAAGCCTCCATTTTCTTTAGATTCTTGTAACAATTTCAGTCTAATTCTAACTTTCTTCCTTGCCAGATAAATTTCAAAATTGATGCATTTATCTCACCAAAGAATTTTTTCTCTATTTTTATAGATATTGTTTGGAATAGGAACAGAATACCGTGGCTATTCTTCCTAATACTGGCAGTTGTAAATTTTTCCATTGTTCCAAGTCTAATTTTATTTGTTTTAATAGTTTTATATAATTATCTTCTTTTATTGTTGCACATCTTGCTGTTAGGTATATTGCCAAGTATTTAATTTTCTTAACTATCTGGAGATCTATTTTGCCTGACAATTGATTTTTTTTGTTTATCTGTAAGATTTTTAACTATAACTTTAGTCTTTTCTCTGTTTATTTTCAATCCTGCTACTTCTCCAAATTCTTCTATTTTTTCCAATAATTTAGAGCTTGTCTCCAAGGGTTCTTCTAATATAAATACCAAATCATCCGCAAATGCTTGTAGTTTATATTTTTCATCTTTTATCTCCATTCCTTTAATTTTTGGGTTTTGTCTGACATATTCAGCGCTTCCAAAGGTAATATAAATAGCAGTATATTAACATATTCTGTGAAGTCTCCATTTACAATTATTTTGGCTGTTTGTCTAAAATATATTGTTTTGATTATGTTTATAAATTTTTCTTCAAAATCCATCCAATTTAATTGTAACATAAATTGCCAATTTATGTTATCAAAGGCTTTCTGTGCATCTAGGAAAATTAGTGCCATTTGTTTCCCTGGATGCTTTTCATAATATTCCAAAGTATCCAATTCTTAAATTATTTTTTATTTGTCTCTTGGGTAAAAATCCATTTTGATCTAGATGGATAAATTCAATGAAAAATCTTTTCAATCTCTCTGCTGTTATTGAAGCAAAAATTTATAATCCACGTTTAGTAATGATATTGGTCTGTAGTTCTTTATCTGAGTCAGATCTGAGTCTTCTTTTGGAATTAAGGTAATATTAGATTCTGCCCAGGTATGGCTTCTGATAGTACCTTATTACAGACTTCTTTCATTGGTAGGCTTAATGTGTCTTGTAGACATTTATAGAACTCTGCCAGTAGCCCATCTGATCCTGGAATCTTGTCATTTTTTTGTCTTTTTATAGTCTCCATCAATTCTATCATTGTTATTTTTTCATTTAACATATTTTTAAAACTTTCAGGTATTTTGGGTAATTTGGCTTTTTCCATATATATAATTTTATTTATATATAATATATATATAATTTTTCATAAAATTCTTTAACTATTTTTTATTGTTTCAGTTTGAAATTGTAAACATTCTTTCCCATCTTGTAGTTTATTTATCAATTTCTTCTCCTTTTCTTTTTTCAGTTTATAGGCTAACCATCTACCCGGTATATTAGCATTTTCAAAAAAGTGTTGTTTTGCCCTTTTAAATTGTTGGGCCATTTCTTCAGCTTTTATTAAGTTTATGTTTTATTATCTCCATTTGCTTTTAAAAAAAATTATTTTGTGGGTCTGCTTGTAATTCTAATTCCAGTTTTTTAAATTCTTTCTTTTAACTTAGTTTGTTGTTGTTTTTTTTCCTTATTCTTTTTTGCCATATAAGTTATAGCTAAGCCTCTGAAGTACGCTTTGGCCCTATCCCACACATTTTGAAGCGATCTATCTTTCTTATTTTCTTTAAAAAAGAATTCTATTTCTTTTGCTGCTATTTGTATACATTCTTTCTCTTTTAATAAAGCTTGATTCAATGATCATCTAATTTTTTTATTTATTCCTTTCCAAGTCATCTTTATCAAATTATGATCTCCCCATATATTGGTTTATATCTCAATCTCATGTATATTCATTCTTATTTCAGAGGATAACCATATCATATCAATTCTGGCCCACAATTTGTGCCTATTTGAATAAAATGTATACTGGGATTTTTTTGGATTTTTTTCTCTCCACATATCCTGTAAACAGATTTCTTCTGCCATTTTGAAAAAAGCCTTAGGTAGTATATTTCTTCCTTTTTTCCCTATTTTGCTGCTTTTATAGTTTAGCTTTCCATCTACAATTGCATTAAAATCTCCTACTAAGCAAATGTTTTGATATTCTGTTTTCACTACTTCCTTATGTAGTTTTTGGTAAAATTCTTCTTGTTTGTTATTTGGTACATATATTACTACCATCAGTGTCTGTTTTTGATTTATCATTTTTCCACCATTAATATTCTTCCTTTTTCATCTGCATAGACTTGTTTAGAATCCATTGTCTCTTTAATATATAAAACTACTCCTCTTTTCTTTTGTTATGCTAGTGAGAAGTAGAGTTTCTCAGTTTTGGGGCATTCCAAAAGTTTATAATGTTGTCTTTTTATATGTGTTTCTTGGAGGCAGACTATATCCATTTTTAGTTTTTGTAATCGTGTAAAAAAATTGTTCCTTTTTGAGGGAGAGTTCAATCCATTTATATTCATTGAAAGAATCCCGTTTTCCTTCTCCATTTTCTTTACTTATATTTAGTTGTTCTTGCCTATCTTTGTTCTCCTACCTTCGCTCCTTCTTTTTGATATATATTTACTATTTTTTCTTCCTCTCTTAATACAGCTATCTCTTCAGGTGCTACCTACCTCTCCCTGTTTTCTACATTCCCTATCTATTTGAAGTTCTGGAATTTTTTCTTCAAGGAAAGCTCTGCGTCTCTCACAAAATTCCATTGCTTTGAAAATGGAATCCAGTCTTTATCTCTTAGAATCCCAATTGATTAGAATCCCTTCCGGGACCAGCCATCTAAAGTTCACTCCTTTTTCAATTAGTTTTTTGATATTCTTTTCATGAGTTTCTTATCCTTCTAGGAATCTGTTTCAAGACTACAATTTCTTTTTCTTTATACCATAATGGGTCATCTCTCACTCATCTCAATATTTCGTCTCTTATTGATTTTTTCACAAATCTAACATCTTAAAATCCCATGTTGTAACTTTTGAAAGCAGTGGAAATTCACAAGAAACTATGCTGTCTTCTTATCGCCCAAGGATCACAAGAATAACTAAGCTGGCAAATGTGTTGCTTTTCTTTCAATTATTTCTCTCTAGAAAAAGCTGCCTGAAGATTAGGTAGTCCGGCAGAAAATGAAACCCAGGCAATCCACTGGCACAGTGGGGTTTCTCTCAATAATGTTTCAAATTCTTAATGTACTTGTCTAAGCTTTGTAGATACTCCACCTCTTTGCTTACTTACTAGATTCTACCAGCAGTTTTAGCAAAGCAAGGAGATATTTAAGGCATATTCTGGCTATCATAATTAAAAAAAATACTTTTGGCTTATTGAAATGAGAACATGTAGCCATGTAACATTCCCATTACTGTTGTTTCACTAACTACCAATGTGTTTCCAAGTACAATATAACTGCTGGTTATAATAACTCGTGTTGCTCAGGACCTGGGTATCTGGTTAGACTGTGTCTAGCCAGTTCAAATGAGTAGAAAATGCCTACTGAAAGATGTCTGCTGTCAGAGATGGCACTGAAGGAATCATAGACAAAGTTCTGTGAAGTCCCTCTCTTTTGATAGAACCTGTCCCCAGAAGCAAAAGTATCTGTTATTGTTATGATTTTGCAAATGTTCATTAACACCTGGTTTTATAACTTCTTTGGAGCGATTTCAGCACTAAATTGTTTTATTTAAAATTGTTACATTTTATGTAATATTTTAAAGATATTTTTGTGTTGGTTTATTGAAGATTTGTATTGGTGATCTAATTGTTCACTGATCACAATATGCAGATTGAAATAGTATATAAACATATAACAAAAGACACAATACCAAGTCTCTCTGGAAGAAACACAGAAGGGTCCCCAACTGGCAGTCTGCATTTACATCCTAAAATAAGTAGCAGCACACAAAGAAAATCATATGCAAAAGACTTCTTTTTATACTTCAAGGTCCAAGTAACATAATATGCCATGGTGGCACAGTGGTTAGAATGTAGTATTGCAGACTAACTTTGCCCATTGTCAGGAGTTCGATCCTGACCGATCAAGATTGACTTCCATCCTTCCGAGAGTCAGTAAAATGAGGACTCATTGTTGGGGGCAATATGCTGACTCTGTAAACCACTTAGAGAGTGCTGTAAAGTGCTATGAAGAATATATAAGTGTAAGTGGTTTTTAATAGTTGTGTGCATCCCTGCTAGAAAACATTGCTTCAGAAAAATAGTGTGAATGCAATTGGCATTTTTAAAGAAAGAAAGGGCTCCATCAATTAGAAGATGTTTTAAATATAACCATTTATACATATGATTGAATTGTTTATTTGTTACTTGATTTTATTTGTATAACTGCCCATCTTATTTTCAAGACTCTGGACAACTCAGATAATCAAAACAACCACACCAACATAATTGAAAATAAATAATTGTATTGTTTAGATTACATGCAGCAGATGGGAGGCCAAGCACATCTTTTTTTCTGGATAACAGTAGAAGGATACAGGGTTACAGCTCAGAAACAGCTAGAAGTATTGCTGAACCATCAGAAGGATGGAATGCATCAAACAACACAAACCAAAGGTCTGTTAAGAACAGCTGCAGTTGGAATATATGAACAGTATTTATCAGAAAAGGTAAGAATTGTTTTTTTAAAAAACAAAAATGTTTTATAAAACATCTATTTATAAAAAGATTTGTAGAAGTAAATAATTTGAAAAATTTCAGAAAATTAAACAAAATCTAAAAAGTAAAAAAAAAATCATACAATATAATTGGGATAGGATATACAGTAGTATGTTGTTACTCATTGTTAATTGGTTCCAGGAGGCATAATGAATACCAAAAACAATGAGTACCAAACAAATTTTCCCCATAAGGAATAAAGTAGTGAGTCACAAGGCAGCTGACATTGACATGTTCTATCTTGTGTGTTGAGTACCAAATAAATGGTAAGTACCAGGACAAAATTTTCATGTCAAAATGCTTTGAGTACCAAATTCAGTGAGTTTCAAAGCAGTTGAGTACCTGGGTACCGCTCTAAAAATAATCAAAAGATAGCGAAGGCTGCTGTACTAGCTACTAAAAATCATAATAATAAAAAGTATCATAGTTGTAAGAATATATTACAGGTAGTCCTCAAGTTAAAATTGTTTGTTTAGTGACCGAAGTTACAATGGCACTGAAAAAAGTGACATGACCATTTTTTACTTCCGACTCTTGAGTAACCCCATGCTCACATGATCAGAATTTGGATGCTTGGCAGTTGGCTCTTATTTATAATGATTGCAATGTCCCAGAGTCATGTGATCACTTTTTGTGACCTTCTCACATACTATGGGGAAACCATATTAACATAACAATCATGTTACTAACTTAACTTGCTTCACTTAACAACTATGGCAAGAAAGGTTGTAAAATGGGACCAAATTCACTTAACAAATGTCTTAGTAATAGAGATTTTGGGTTCAATGGTTGTCATAAGTTGAGGGATAAATTTGTAAGCAAACTAATCTTGAATAGAGATAAAATTGAACATATAAAATTACCCCATATAATATATAGAGAAGTCTATGTAAATCAAAATCTATAGTAATTAGAAAGTGCATAAAACAGAAATTTCATTTCTTCTTATCTCATCCCCATATAATTATTTCAATTTATATGTCACTTGTAAATATTCTTTCCAATATCTCAAAATGAAATAATATAACTTTTATGAATAACTTGAACTACTTGAGTTCTTTGCTTTTATTAAAATAACTGATACAGTTTTTGTAGTTATCTAGCTTTATTTTATCTTTAATAATAATAATGGCTGATTTTTATTTTTTACAAACAAATGAATTAAAATAAAAACTAAAATAATTTAATTCTCTGTGGTAGGCTTCTCCAAGAATTAATATTGATGATACACTGGTAGCAAAGCTGGAAGAAAAATTGAATAATGAGGACCCAACTCCTGAAATTTTTGATCAGATTCAAAGAAAGGTATACTGTTTTATTGTGATCTACTAATCTGACTATATATCTGTCAATATTTATGACTAATTTTGTTGGTTTTTAGACTGAAATGTAGAGTAATAATGCAAATACTTATTACATTATTTACATCTAGATGCATCTTTATATAATAAAGTGCTTTATGATTTAGATTACCTACTTTGCATAATAGTAAGCTTTAATTTCATTAAGGTATATGAATTGATGCTGCAGGACGAAAGATTCTATCCTTCATTCAAACAGCATGCACTTTATGTACGAATGCTTGCTGAGCTAGATATGCTAAAGGATCCTAGTTTCAGAGGATCAGATGATGGTGAAGGAGGTATGTTGATTTCATCAGGTAGGAGTTATAACTAAGTATAAACAGATAGGAAGTAATTTTTCCTCATCAGATAGGATTTAACTTTTATTTTCTCTTTTTCTTTCTTTCTTTTTTCTTTTCTTTTTTTTTGCAAAGAGGCCTATGTTGTTGTTGTTAGTTGCGAAGTCGTGTCCGACCCATCACAACCCCATGGACAACATTCCTCCAGGCCTTCCTGTCCTCTATCATCTTCTGAAGTCCATTTAAGCTCATGCCTACTGCTTCAGTGACTCCATCCAGCCACTTCATTCTCTGTTGTCCCCTTTTTTTATTGCCCTCAATCTTTCCCAGCATTAGGCTCTTCTCCCGCGAGTCCTTCCTTCTCATTAGGTGGCCAAAGTACTTGAGTTTCAACTTCAGGATCTAGCGTTCTAATGAGCAGTCAGGGTTGATCTCCTCTAGGACTGACCGGTTTGATCGCCTTGCAGTCCAGGAGACTCGCAGGAGTCTTCTCCAGCACTTAGTTCAAAGGCCTCAATTCTTTGGCGCTCAGCCTTTCTTATGGTCCAACTTTCACAGTCATACATTGCAACTGGGAAAACCATGGCAGGGTGATGTCTCTGCTTTTAAGTATGCTATCTAGATTTGCCATAGCTTTCCTCCCCAGGAGCAAGCATCTTTTAATTTCTTGGGTGCAGTCCCCATCTTGGTGATCCTGGAGCCCAGGAAGATAAAATCTGTCACTACCTCCATTTCTCCCCCATCTATTTGCCAGGAATTGAGAGGGCCGGATGCCATGATCTTGGTTTTCAAGCCAACTTTTGCACTCTCTTTCTTCACCCGCATCAAGAGGCTCTTTAGTTCCTCTTCACTTTCTGCCATTAGAGTGGTATCATCTGCAATCTTAATTCCAACTTTTGATTCATCTAGCCCTGCCTTTCTCATGTGCTCTGCATATAGGCAGGGTGACAGAATACAGCCTTAAATAGGCAGGGTGACAGAATACAGCCTTGGCCGGATTCCTTTCCCAATTTTGAACCAATCGTGTCCAGTTCTCACTGTTGCTTCTTGACCCGCATATAGGTTTCTCAAGAGACAAATAAGATGGTCTGGTACTCCCAACTCTTTAAGAACTTGCCACAATTTGTTCTGATCCACACAATCAAAGGCTTTAGCATAATCAATGAAGCAGAAGTAGATGTTTTCTGGAACTCCCTAGCTTTCTCCATGATTCAGCGTATATTGGCAATTTGATCTCTAGTTCCTCTGCCTCTTCGAAATCCTGCCTGTACTTCTGGAAGTTCTCGATCCACATACTGCTGGAATCTAGCTTGTAGGATTTTAAGCATAACTTTACTTGCATGTGAAATGAGTGCAATGGTGCAATAGTTTGAACATTCTTTGGCATTGCCTTTCTTTGGAATTGGAATGTAAACTGACCTTTTCCAATCCTGTGGCCGCTGTTTAGTTTTCCAAATTTGCTGGCAAATTGAGTGTAGCACTTTTACTGCATCGTCTTTTAAGATTTTGAATAGCTCAGCTGGAATACTGTCACCTCCACTAGATGTCAAAACTGCTAACATTGGATGTTCTTGCTCTGACAAAATATGCAGAGCTGTGTGGTATTTTTAGAGTTAACTCAGAAGACGCTGGGAGGGGAGAAGGAAGAAAGTATGAGTTGCAAATGGAAGAGAACCTTTGCCCTTCAAACTAATTGGAGAACGTAAATCATGACAGCAAAGTAAGGGAGGGAAAATGCTAGCAAAAATAACTGCTTGGGGCGTGGAGATTTCATCTTAGCATCCCTTCTTCATGCCGTGCCGACATTTTGTCACATGAATAAAAAGACTTTTTAGAATAAACAATGCCTGGAAGTTCTTTGAAGTGTTTCATTAGTCGGAATCTTGACACTAGCTTTGTTGTTGCTCAGCTTTCCTAAGGCCCATTTCACTTCACATTCTAGGATGTCTGGCTTGAAGTCAGTGACCACCCCATCGTGGTTATCAGGGATGCTAAGCTCGTTCTTGTATAGTTCTTCTGTGTAATTTTGCCATCTCTTCTTAATCTCTTCTGCCTCTGTTAGGTCCCTGCCATTTTGGTCCTTATCATGCCCATCTTTGCCTGAAACTTTCCCTTCATATCTCCAATTTTCTTGAAGAGATCTCTGGTTCTCCCTATTCTATTGTTTTCTTCTATTTCTTTGCACTGTTCATTTAAGAAGGCATTCTTATCTATTCTAGCTATTCTCTGGAATTCTGCATTCAGTTAGGTGTATCTTTCTCTTTCTCTCTTGCCTTTCGCTTCCCTTCTTTCCTTAGCTATTTGCAAAGCTTCCTCAGATAGCCATTTTGCTTTCTTCCATTTCTTTTTCTTTGGGATGGTTTTAGTTGCTACCTCCTGTACAATGTTGTGAACCTCCGTCCATAGTTTTTCTGGCATTCTGTATATCAGATCTAATTCCTTAAATCTATTTGTCATCTCTATATTCATCAGGAATATGATTTAGTTCATACCTGAGTGGCCTAGTGTTTTTCCCTACTTTCTTCAATTTAAGCCTAAATTTTGCAATGAGAAGCTCATGATCTGAGCCACAGTCAGCTCCTGGTCTTGTTTTTACTGACTGTATAGAGGTTCTCCATCTTTGGCTGCAGAGCACATGGTCAATCTGATTTCTGTGTTGACCGTCTGGTGATGTCCATGTGTAGAGCCATCTCTTGGGTTGTTGGAAAAGAGTGTTTGCTATGACCATCGTATTCTCTTGACAAAATTCTATCAGCTTCATTTCGTACTCCAAGGCCAAACTTGTCTGTTATTCCAGTTATCTTTTGGCTTCCTACTTTAGTATTCCAATCCCCCATGATGATAAGAACATCATTTTTTGGTGTTGATTCTATAAGGTGCTGTAGGGCATCATAGAACCGGTCAAATTCATCCTCTTCAGCACCAATGGTTGGGGCATAGACTTGGACTACTGTGATATTGAATGGTTTGCCTTGGATTCGCACTGAGATCATTCTGTCATTTTGGGGATTGTATCTCAGTATTTCTTTTTTTACTTTTTTATTGACTATGAAGGCTACTCCATTTCTTCTGAGGGATTCTTGCCCGCAGTAGTATACCTGATGGTCCTCTGAATTAAATTCACCCATTCCTGTCCATTTTAGTTCGCTGATTACTAAGATGTCGATGTTCAGTCTTGTCATCTCTTGTTTGGCCACGTCCAGTTTGCCTTGGTTCATGGATTTTACATTCCATGTTCCTATGGAGAAAATATATTTACAGCATAGGACTTTCCTTTCACCACCAGATGCATCCACAGCTGAGCATCCTTTCGGCTTTGGCCCAGTCGGTTCACTTTTTCTGGCGCTACTAGTACTAGCTCTCTGCTCTTCCCCAGTAGCATATTGGACACCTTCCGACCTGAGGGGCTCATCTTCCAGTGTCATATCTTTTTTCCTTTTGGTACTGTCCATGGGATTTTCATGGCAAAGATACTGAAGTGGGTTGCCATTTCCTTCTCCAGTGGATCACATTTTGTCAGAACTCTCTGCTATGACCTGTCCATCTTGGGTGGCCCTGCACGGCATAGCTCATAGCTTCATTGATTTACGCAAGCCCCTTTGCCACGACAAGGCAGTAATCCATGAAGGAGGGGCTTATGTAGAAGACACTAAAGATAATTTGGGGAAATTTTGCATATCTCAACATATAAGAATTGTGACTATTCCATTCGGCTGCTTCTGTTCTTTGTTGCTCTTTTATAGCTATTGCAAATTTCCACAGTAACAGGTAGTGTGCATGCTTTGATTCTGAAAAAGTGCTTCATACCCACAGAAGTGTGAAATTCATTAAAGGAATATGACTATTTTCATACTTCTACAAGAACTGAAAAAAACATTTTTCTTTAAGAATAACTTTCTGGAGTAAAATTAAATATGACCTCTTTTTAAGCTTATGCAGAAACTCTTAGTGTATAACACTCTTATCTCTTTAGTCCTTACATTAAATATACTTCTACTACCGGTATTATAAACAAAAGATCTGCTTGGCTACCTCCTAGTGGCCTATGGTGACAATAGCACAATTTTTCATTTAAGTTTTAGCAATCAGCAGAACTAAGTATTCCCTACTAGTATTTAATTTGTTCCAAGCTATTTAAAATAATAGCTGGATGGAATTTTCACTATTCCTTTTTAAATTGTTGTAATATTATTTTGACTACTGAATTGTAATACCTTGGCTTTTTCTTTATAATGATCTTAAGTTGTAATAATGTTTAGTTCTTAGTTTGTTAAATACTAAGATTATCCATTATACAGAAATTTGTTTACAGCTGTTTATATTTTTAAGCACAGCAGGGAGAAATCATAATATTTTCATTTCTAAAAACAGGAGAAAAATATGATTAAAAATATCATGATTGAAGTGTTGTAATACTTGTATCTAGGCAGTGTCCTAAAGTTCACTTCTCAGTTCAAGCTTTCCATTTCTTATCATTCTCATTACTTAATGTGCAGTAAAATATATGGATTTAGGGTGAAAAATCATGGTAAAAATTAACTAGTTAATATTTACAGTATTAACCAGTTATTCACTTACCTTTTTTCATCCTGAATCCATATAGTTTATGTATGTACATAAATATAAATTCATGCTTATGTTCCAATATATTTCCATTGTATGGCTTTATAAAAAAATGTTCTCTTTACACAGAATCATTTAATGGATCTCCTACAGGCAGCATTAATTTGGTAAGTATGTTTTTCAACATTGTGAAAGTTCAAAATATTACTTGTTTATTTAAGACAAAAGCAACAAGTGAAACAAAAACAAAAATGACACTATATATTTTTGTTTTTGAGACTATTTTATTTTAAAAGTAGTTAAATAGTTAAGTAGCTAGTTGCAAGAAAAAATGTTAAGGGCAATAGAATAAAACATACATTGCAATATTTAAAAGTCTAGTGTAAAATACAGAATAAATAAGATAAATAAAACAGTATCAGAAAATTAAAAAGCATCAGTTAAAAAAAGGTAAAACTCTCAGAAATCCTACGAGAATAAAAATGTCTTTGTTTGGCATCAGAAAATAATAATGATAATATTGGGTGTACCTAATTTGGAGGAAATTCCAAAGTTAAAATTCAGCATTGAAAAAAAACCTTGCCATTCGTGCAATAATATTTCTGGAATATAAATGATAACCGTGGCTTTCTCTTCACTCACTAGTCACTGGATGATCTTTCAAATGTGACTGCTGATGAGTCGATACAGCTACATGCATGCATTTCAGATACTGGTGAGTTTAGTATTGGTATTTGTGTTTTCATGAGAAGGTAAAATAACCGTAACTGATTAACCTTGTAATTAATTATTTGTTTAATATAGTTTTTATCCATTATTATTAAAACATTTGTTTTCTTGGTGTTATTATGCAGAAACTTCAAGAAGAAAGACTTACATTAGCTAATACACTTATTTGTATATTTAAGATTAATTTTCCATTTGCATCCAGTAAATGTTTCTGTTTTATTATCCTTTTCAATGTATCATTAGAGTTCAACTTTCATATCAATGGTTGTTTCATTCTCTAAACATGTATTTTTTTTCACTTGTAACATTATTTTTTTCATTCTGTCAATCATTCTATAAAACCAAATAAAGAATTAACATCAATTATATTGGAATATGCTAAAGATATGAGCACAATATGCATTGCTGTCCAAAATTATGAATTCTTCTGACATCTGGTATATATCACCTCAGTGCTATATCACCATTCAATACAGTATAGGTGATCTTCGAGGTACGACAGATCATTTAATGACCATTCAAAGTTTCAATATACCTACCAAAAACTATATACGACTCTGATTCAAAATTACAAATTCTACAGAAGTCACCCAATCATTTGCCCTTATGAATGACTGTAGAATTCTTCTATAGAATTTTTAACTTTGCAGAAATGCTGCAAATAATTCTTCAGTAGAATACTTAACTTTGCAGAAGTGCTGCAGCATGCCCACATATCTATTCCTCTTCCCATCCTGCCCTGCCAGGTCCCCAAAGGTCCATCAATTCAAACATCCACATCTGCCTATCCCAGGTCGTTGGTAAGGACTCGATAGGTAGACAAAAATGTCAAATCCAGTCTCAACGTCTGGCTGATTGTGCGATAAATAATAATAATAATAATAATAATAATAATAATAATAATAATAATAATAATAATAATAATAATAATAATAATAATAATAATAAAAAGTTGGAAGGGACCTTGGAGGTCATTTAGTCCAACTCCCTGCTCAGGCAGGAAACCCTATACCATTTCAGACAAATGGCTGTCCAGTCTCTTCTTAAAAACTTCCAGTGTTGGAACATTCACTGCTTCTGGAGGCAGGTTGTTCCACTAATTAATTCAGCTACCCTTAGTTAAAATTACCTTTCTTATAGATTAAGTGTAACATGAAAGGCTAATTAAAGTAATTTCTATTTTCCTTGCATCTCTGAGATGAGGAAGGAAAATTAAGTCTCAGGCTTTTTCTTGTAACAGTAAATAATATATACATAAAATACCCATCACATCATTTCTTTTTGAGATAAATAGGGAAAAAATAGAAGAATTTCAGAAGAAAGCAGTTTGCATGTCCATATTGATTTGACTTTTCTCATTTTCTACAGCTTTTCATTTCACATTTCTTCCACTATTTCGTCTTTCTTTTTGTCTATCCATTATTGTTTGTTTTAATTGATAGTCTGTGCTGATTATAATCCATATACTATGGCAGGAGTTTGTAATGACCATGGAAGGACATATGCATTATATACTATAACTGTTCAACGTCGAACTGCGAATACTAATGATGAGTGGAAAACATATCGCCGCTACAGTGATTTTCATGACTTCCATATGAGAATCACTGAACAGGTAATTTGAAATTATCTTGATTTGTTTATTTTTTGAGAAAGACATCAATTAATTGAAATTAGCAATGAATAAATTTTATTTTGTGTGCTTGAAATCAATGGATTTTGATTTATCTTATTCTTAAAACTAGAGATCCCCAACCTATGGGCCATGTCCTCTTGGCCACCGGGCCTCCTGAGTGGCTGGTCAGTGCACACGTGCATGTGTGCGTGCTCACCCCTGTCCTTGCGCTAAGCAAGTGTTAGTCTCTTGTTGGCGCTAGGCGAGTCGCGAGCCTCTTGCCAGTGCTAGGCAGGCCACGAGCCTCTCGCTGGCACTAGGCAAGCACCGTGCTGGTGCTAGCAGCCACATTTGTGTGTGTGCGCATGGGCATATAAAGGTCCTTGTCCCTCCCTTTCCCACCAGGCCACCAACCCAGAAAGGTTGGCGACCCCTGCTTAAAACCATTCCACAGTCTCCTAATTATATACTTGAAATTGGAGTAAGCTAATCGGAGCCTGATGAAATTTGCATACCAGACTTTCTAGTTCCAGACTTCAACCATCTTATTATTGTTATTTTATCTTTTATAACCTGCGTACATTGACTTCTTGCAGATATATTTTTACAAACAATTGCAAAATGTTTCTTAATTACATTACTCTAGAAATTAATATTGACACAATATTAAAGATTAAATCAATTAAATGTTCCTGTAGAACAGTGATGGCGAATCTTTTAGAGACTGAGTTCCCCAAAACTGGTCCCCGCCCCGCTCCACCCCCTGCCCCGCCCTCACCCTGCCTGCCCGCAGGGCCACTCAGCGCCTCCAGGGCCCGCCGCAGATCGCCCAGGCAGCCCAGCAGCGCCATGGCAGCCACACCCTATGCCTGCGCATCAACTGTGCACGATGGGGCGTGAGAGCAGAGTCTTGTCTATGCTGCCTGGCTGCTATGTTCTTGGCTTTGCTGCTCTGCGTGGGCCACGCTCGGGGGCAACTCTCCTCCAGGGGGCTGCTGGTGAGGGGGTCATGGGGGAGGCAAGGCTGGGCAACAGCACATGTGCCCACAGAGAGGGCTCAGAGTGCCGCCTCTGGCACGCATGCCATAGGTTCGCCACCACTGCTGTAGAACATCCTGTAGAAAATCTTGTATGAAAAAAAGAGAATGTAAACTGGGCGACAGCTCTTCTTTTTGATAGCTAATTTAGATACTGAGAAAATGTATACTGATGTGTTGTTATTCAAACCTATACCTTCAATCTAGAGAGCCCCAGTCCAGAAACTGGTGATTGTAAATTCCAATGTAACTAGCCACCGATGTAAATATGTTTTAACATAGTTAATTGTAGTAAACAAGGAAAACAACCTAAGAGATTCGGAGAAGACTTTCCTGCCAGATAGACCTTGTGAAGAAAATAGCAGTGTTGTATCTATATTGGTTATGACATTTGTTTATTTATTACATGTAAATGCCACCTAGCTCTTAGCAATTCTATGTGGTGAAATTAATTAATAATATTCTCTTTTGCTGAAATGCTACAATGTGTGTGTATTTAGAATGAATTGCCACATCTATTTTTTTTTTAGTTTGAAAACCTAGGAAATTTATTGAAGCTTCCTGGTAAAAAAACATTCAACAATATGGATAGAGATTTTTTAGAAAAAAGGAAGAAAGATTTAAATTCATACTTACAGGTATGTTCTTATACTCAGATTCTTAGTTAAAATGAGTGTATTTTGTTACTTTCTTCCCCCATTTGACTTCTAGGATATTGCAGTAAACTTTATAGGTATTTAGGATAGCATGCTTTGGAATTACGTAAATATTTAAAAACACCCTAGGCTTTATTTGATGTCCACTCATTAGTGACTGAAGTTATGATAGCCCTGAACAAAGGGTATTTCCAATAGGCCCTTATGGTTGTGGCCATTGCAATGTCCCCAACAATCACATGATCACAATTTGGGTACTCTGCAACCAGTTCACAATTATAATATTGCAATAATATTGCATGTGACCACCATTTATGACTTTCACTGCCAGCTTCCAACAAAGTCAATAGGGAAGATGGCTGGAGATCACGAGTGGTGATTACTTGATCATGTAATGCTACAGCTGCCTGGGATTTGCCTAACAACAGCAATTGGGACTGCCAGAACTATCATTGTTGGTGTGGTGATGTGATGTTGTGTTTTCATTCATGTTACTTAGTAGTGGAGTTCCTGTTACCACATCTTTAGTAAGGTTCGGCTGTTGGGAGACTGGCACATTAAATGAGTTCACTTCCAGATAGAATCAAACCATAGTTATCATACAGAGCTAACTGTCCTTAAAATTAATATGGAGTTTTGGCCATGGGGAGTTGAGTAGGATGGCTAAAATTGTTCAACAATAATTCAGTAATTCACTACAGTTGGGTAGGACTTTGGGCAATACAGTATTGGTACTTTAAATTTATATATATATAAATCATTGCATATATATATATATATGCATTGTTTTAATTTCAGAGCAAAATATTCATTTTTCTTAATGTAATTTGCATGTTTTACTACTAGCTTTTGTTAACACCCGAAGTGATGAAAGCTTATCCGGCTTTAGCACACTATGTGTATGATTTCTTGGAAAACAAGGCATACAATAAAGAGAAGGGGGATTTTGCTCGGAAGGTAAGATGTATATATTATAAGTTAGCAATCAGAACTTTTCAAAGAATAAATAATTTAGTCTGTTTTCATTTCATCAAAACTCTATGACGTAGTCCTTTAACCAATATGATACAGTTAATGTATGAATTTGTTACTTTGTATAAATACAGACTGCAAATAAGATTTTGGAATAGAACCATTGAATTATTCTCAGAGAACCAATTTTTTGATACAGAATCTTTGTAGTGAGAACATTTTCTTTTGAAGAAATATGTAGACATTTATTCTAAAATTTTATGTAGTGTTTTTAAACATGTTAAGATTTCTGTCCTTTGATCTACCTTTAAAGCTGCTGATCATTTCAGGCATCACTTGCTTTATAGTTTCCATTTGCCTGCTCTAAAGAGAGAATGCATGTCTCCCGCTGAAATTGCTTTCTGAGGCTGTTTCACATCAAGGAATCAAAGCACAGCTTTTTTTCTCATACAGCCCTTGTCAAAACTGATCATTCAGCAGTTGGGATAAAAGTAAATTCCTTTGCAGGCTTTTTGCACAGGTATCTTTTTTTTTTTTCTATGACCATTCTTTTTAATAAAATGTATAAAAGGCAATATTTCAAATTTAATTGAAGATTTAATTAATAGCAGTTCTAAAAAATATTTCAGTAACAGTAGCTTCCAATAAACTAAGTTGTTTGATTCTTCTTAAAACTTTTATGGAATTAAGCAATAAAATTAATGTTGTGTTATCACTCCACACTATCTTTACTTGAACAAAAGAGACCAACTTTCCTTTGAGGAATACCTTGCAAAATTTTCCTATGTCTTTTAAAAATGGTAAGCTTCAGCTTAAAATTGTAACAAAAGTAATATTTTTAAAGATTCATTCCAGATATTCCCCAAATTTCATAAATACAATGTTTCAATTAGTTTATTATATCTGTTAATTTAAAGGATGTTCAAAGTAGTTAGCCATAAAATTTAACAAACCAGCAACTCTTTAAGAATCAACATTTTTGCACAAATAAAAATCATTTTCATTTGCTTTCTGATTTATAGAAGGCTTGTCTAAAGTTATGTGCCCTAATTGGAATATCTCTTTATTTAAATTAACTCAAAAAGTTAGAAACATTCACAGCAAAGCTTCCATAAGGGAAGCACATATGGGGAAAAAATTATCTTTCAGATGTTCTACTTCTTGGCTGCTTGAAGTTTGATAAATGCAAGTTGGCACATAAAATAATTTTGGAGATTAAAAGATAGACAGCATATTCCCTTTAATTTTACAGTCACTTAACGTATTTGGATCAATTGTAGTTTTTGGACAGTCACTGACAGCCCACTTAGATCTCACTGCAATAACTGAACTAAATTACCTGTGTTGACTTGGCTTAATTGTCCCAGGAGAAAAAAGCATATCATGAATCATCTAATCAAAACAAAGTGTGTAGTCCACAGAATTTTTGAAAATTTCGATTTGGAAAACTAGATCTAAATCTTCTTCCAAATTGACTAGTTTTAATATGTATTTTATGCTGTTTTATACTGTATTTTTCAAGCCTGATACATTTTTCTTGCAAGTACTTGAATATAGGTTGTCCTCAACTTGTCACCACAATTGGGGCTAGAATGTTGTCACTGAGTGAAGCAGTCATTAAGTGAGCTATCATGTGACTCTCCATATGATTTCTTTGCTTAACAACCACAATCTCAGCATTCCGAATTGTGGTCATTAAGCAGTTATGCAGTTAAGCTGACAGAATCCCAGGTAAGGAGGACAGGGAGTTGCAAGAGGATGGGGTATACCCTTGAAGGTTCCACTCAGGAGCTGAAAATGCTTGCTGTCAAAATGCAAGCAGCCCCTGAATAAAGAGAAGCAATCTTTTGAATGTGGTCCACATAGGCTCTTCCAGGGCCTCCCCACACACCTTACTGCATTGACTCTGCTTCTGCTTAGATTTCAACTCCTTTATATCTCAGGGGCTGGTTGAAAGAGCTGCCTGCCAAAAAATACAGCTTCTTTCCATGCACAGAATAGAATTCCTTTGGCGGAATGCAAGAATAGATATGAAATCTTCAGGATTTCGGTTCCATTTTTGCACCCTGCCGAATGGGTTCAGTTCCCTCAGAAGAGGAGGGTGTTGTCCAGCCCCCAGAGACAAAAGGGAATCCTTTAGCAAGCAGCCATAGCTTGCAATCTTCCCTGCTGGCTTCCCTGTTGACTTTCTGGGGAAATCAGCAGAGAAGATTGCAAATGGTGGTGATATGATCATGAACACTTGGCAATCAGTTCTAAGTACTAACAGATTGTCAAGCGCCCAGATCATGATTATGTGGCCATATGGGCTGTATCTATGTAGACAAAGTGGCCAGAAGCACCTTGTAGGTCACCCTCTCCAAGGCCATTATAATTCTGTTAAGCAAACTGTTGTAAGTCAGGGATTACCTGAATACAATATACTTCCATTTATCTTAACTACTATGTCTTGTCCACAAGCTGTATGGTTTAGAAAATCTTATTCCTGTTGTCTAGACTGCTAATATAACTAATATATTTTTACATTTGGAAATGTGATCACTCTTTTCCATATTTTGAGTGGCAGAATAATTTCATAAATGAACAAATCAAGGGAATCAGTGGGTTCTAGATATTTGAAAATGAAATGCAAAACTGAACAGAATACATCCAGATAAATAATACATATTATGCTTTACTATAAACATCAGATAATTCTAACATTAGCATTCAGATTTAATAGTATTCTGAAAAATTCATCCGATGTCATAACACATGGCATAGAATCTGCTTACTTGAAGGAGCACTTGTCTCCAGTAACATCGGCCCAACCAATTATATTTTGCAGGATTGGTGTACTCTGGTTTCCTTTAATTAAACAATGTCATTTATCAAGACATTGGAAGCATACCACCTCTGTAGCAGTCCTTTCCTCTGGAAGGAGCCTCCAAGGCTCCTCCCAAGTTCTGGATGGCCTCCACTTTGCTGTTGTTTAAAAAATCTGTGAAGGCTGAGAGAGAGAGAGAGAGACTCCTTGCTTTATCACGTTTTCTATCTCTTAACTTTATCTTTTAATTTTTATTGATTTTTATTGTAATTTTTTATTAGATTGTTAGGAATTATCCAAAGTTGTTGAGAGTTGGGCAGCATAAAGTTTTAATGATGCCTTCTTATAGTCAACTTGATGTTTAGAATGGATTTTGCATTATTGAGTCCTTCCCAAGAACCTAGAATAGGCAGTTGTTATTATATGCACAATATTGTGAACTCACAGCTGTCACTACTTTGGCTGACATTGACCTTCATATGCATCAAGTTCTTCCCCAGAACCTAGACTGTAGTAATGTATCAACTTAGAATACATGCCAGTCCAAGCATCCAATTCAAATGTTCCTTTTGTAATTGCTAGATGAAAATTTTGTCAATGCACACATTTTCTAAGTGGTGTACAATTATTATTATGATTATTATATTATGGACATCTTGCATGAGAGATAAAACAGGCAATGGCAAACTATGAGAAGTTAATTCTAAAATTTCCTCCTTACCAAACTTTTGTTTATAGATCTGCCATTACTTATTACTACATGGATATTATCTTGCAGGATCTCAAAGTAACATATAAATATAGTACAGCATTTGTCTGCATTAAAAAATTTTCTTTTCCCAATAGTTGTTATATGAGAGCTAATAGGCTAATAAGTTTTATTATTCACAATTTTCCTTTTAATTTTCTCCCAGCTTTCCATAACAGTCCTTTATAAAAAAAAAATTAAATCGTCTATTAAGGAGGCTATGAGTTATGGAAGGTTTCTGGTGAAAGAGACAAATGGAAGCATCTATAGAGAACTCATTGGCTTCCAACTATGGTTGTTATTTAGCATCAGTTGAAATACTTTGCTAAGTAGCATAGCAAAAACCACATTTTGTCCTAAGAAATTTGCTGTCCGAATGTAGATTTGGGAATTGAATATAGGATTGGATAAAGGACAAAAAAGAAATCTATCTGATGCAGTAACACTCACTTTGAATATGTGATTAAGATGTTTTATATTCAAAATAACTGAATATGAATGCTTTATATTTATACCATGTATTATTTTTATTAATAATTTTGTGTTACTAGTCTCCAAAATAGTGTGATGTTTTCCAACATGCATTATTGGATGACTGTAATCATGTCCTCATAGATTTCTGCAAGCGTGGTAAATGTTTTCCTCTTCAGGTGGACACATTTGTAAATCCACTGCGTAACTCTATGAGAAATGTTTCAAATGCTGTCAAGTCCATCCCTGACAGCTTCACAGAGGGGATGACAAAAATGTCAGACAACATGGGCAAAATATCAGAAAGATTGGGACAAGATATAAAGCAATCATTTTTCAAGGTAAGAATGTACATATAAAACAACAGAGTTTGTACTGTTTTAGATTACTTTGATTAAATAAATAAGAACAGAACAGGCGAAAAGTTCAATATGTTAACTATTGGTAAAACACTGGTATTGGAGGGCTGAAAATATAGTAAATTACCCCGAGAAAAAGCAGACCTGAAGATCAAAGCTGTTTTTTAATTTATTCTAAAATAGAAGATGCAACTGGGAAATCTATTAAGAAATTCAGAAGGAATCTTCTGTAGGCACATAATGGTCTACCATATTTATCTTAATTTTTGAGTTGTCTGATGTCATGTATTATACCTGAGTTCATACATTAAATGATTATTAAATAAAAATGCTAGCTTATTAATAATAGAAAACACTAATTTAGGTTTTATCATTATTATCATTTCTTAATAATGCAAGTAAATACTAAATTAATGTTCGCTACCCTAATAACCTATCTTTTTTCTTTAAAAGAATTAGTTATATATGTATGTTCTGCTTTCATTTAGAAGCCCAGTATCTTTTTAAAAAATATTAAAATTAAAAATCTTTGAATAGCAGAAAATTACCTGAAAAAATGAATTTGTATTAATAAAATTATGTTTTTATTAACTACTTAATCAGTCTGAGTTTACAGGTTAAGAAAAAATAGAGAAGAAAGCAGAGAGAAAATGGAAAAAGAATTACTGTTTTTAGTAGTGTGTATTTCTGGCCAATTCTGCTATCCATCTCTCATTCTTCATCTCAAATATCAGGATACCAAATCCTCAGAGTCTTGGGGTTTTAGCTGCAGCCCTTGAATATCTGATATGTCTGTAAGGAAACCATCCTCATTGGTAATTTATTTTACATTAGTGAGATAGTTTTCATCAGTAGTCATCTCTTCTTAGATGACCAGTACAAAACATTATTAATGCAGTTGTACCTGAAGGGGGAATTGTATTTATTGCTTGTATTCTATTCCCCTTGTTGCATAATAACATCTCTGCCATAGCTGCTTAGCCTAGTTTCTGGGGTAGCAGTGGAATATCCTAAACTAGTGACATTGAGAATTTCAAATTGCCTGTGCTAGGCAAGGCTTATGGAGGAGCTGAGAAGCTTAGACTGTCATGACAACCATGGACCCAACCCAACTTATTGAGAGTCTGATGTATCTAAGTGATCCAGGCTAAATGGACAGATGCAATTTGGAAGTGGAGGATATCAAGCATAGCCCATTGTCATGGACACATCACTCTGTGGTTGCTATTTGCGATGTGACTTCTTCCATTATGAAAAAGAATGTTGGTATTCCCCCAACATAAATAAATAACATATCCATAAATAATATGGATAAAGAGCTTTGAGAGTTCCCTCAGGATGTGGTAGCCAGTTTGGTCAAAGCTGTCCAATGGAATAAGGAAGTGATTATGGTACTGGACCCCAGATCCAGTTACATCTTGTGTGGCAATTACAACAATTCCTGAATTGGGGGGCCCTTGCTTACAGTCAACCTATACCCTACTCCTCTTCAGTTTGGATTACTCTACATAGGGTTACCTTGAAAAGCTTTCAGCAACTACATTGACTACTCAGACAATAATAAATAACTCCAATGCTTCATGTTCTGGTACAGATCAGGTACTGGTTGTCTAATTGTTAAGGCCCTGCATACATAGTGATCTGAGGAATGCCGTATCTTATATTTATCTGCCCATCCAGACAGGTCAAGTAGGGTCAGCTTCTTCATGGCCTATCTGCACAAGAAAGCCATTTGACAAGTGGGCATTTTTCCATGACTGTTCCTATATCTGAATTTTTTCCTCAAGGAAACTGGTTTGCATTTCCACTCTGGTTTTAACTGGAGAGCAGTTAAACCTGATTAACTCCCGGCATGGAGCATGCTGTGACTGAAGTATGGAATTTGGCAATCACATATCTTTTTTGGAGCATAATTTTGATTTGATATATGGTTTATTTCATTTGTAAGTTTGTTATTTTTGAGGATAAATATATTTTTGGTTTGGCGATTATTTTTAGCTATCCAGTGCCATTGGGAGCAGATAGCATACAGATTAATTAAATAATATCTATTGCTTTGGAGCAACATACATACCTTCAAAGCAACTAGTGAACTACATATGAGGAGCAGATACTTTTTTGTGCAAAAATCTCATTTCGATCAAGTTGGGTGGCAAATAAATGTAATAAATAAATAATTCTCAGACTTTCCAGATTATAAGCATTGCTAATTACATTTTTCTTAATCCTAGTTATAATAGCTTTTGAGTTAAGTTGAAACTTTTTAATGTTTTATAAACATTTTAATTATTTAAAACAATTTTTGTGCTACATATAGATAACATATATAATATGTAGATATTTTATGTATGTGTCTGCAAACATACAAGTAGATATATACAATTATTATAATATGATTTCTAAATTTGTTTGGTATTTTATAATTGCTCTGTTTAGAAATTTGCTTATGTTTGATACCCCAAATGAATTTTAGTGAGACTTTGATTATGTAGGTGAATTGTGTTATAAGTTGTTTAAATAGAACTATTGCATAAAAACTCCTTGATTCTGATCCAAAATGTAATTTTAGACTTGGATATTATGGAGGCTTCTACTTCGCACGCTTTGCAATTTTTTCACATTTTTTGTTACAGTATAAGAGTGGTACACATTATCAACTCTGCAAATTCTATTAAAGTGTCCAAAGCCCTGGGTGTATTTCAAACCTCCTTTTCTGCTATAACATATTCTCATGTAACATGTCTTTGTGGAACTTCATATCCTTAAATAATGGAATGTTCTCTGTATTCAATACCTGAGTTGTATAGTTCAGTGTAGAAATAGATGGTTTAGGCCTGATTTTTGACAGGATAGATATACACAATTCAGATATACACCAACATTTCTGGATGGGATAAATATCTGAAGCAATTTGTTTTCTTTCATTTTTCCCAGTAGCCTTGCTTTCATCAATCGTTTACCTATCCCTGAATAAAATATACTTATACCATTTGGCCTTGTCATTGCTAACCTACCTCTGCTCTGCACATATGAATGCATCTTTCTTTTTAAATATTATTTAAATATTTGAATAAATAAATTTAAATGACCAAATAAAAAAGGAGAGAGCTAGTAATTTCAATTGAATATATTTTCTTGTTATATTGACTAAAGATAACATTTGTAAATTCACAAATACAGGTTTCATTAACTATACACGTTACATTTGTATAAGTCAAAAACTATGGGATAAACTGCACTAAAATGAAAACATATTAAGTAATTGATCACAATATTACATTATACCTTGATTTAAATTATAAAACCATTGTATAGTGTCATTTATGCTATATGAGATTGTATTTTATAAATTCAATTCTATTTGTTCTATATGCTGCTATACATTAATAAGTATAAAAATGTGGATGTTTATTATCTGACTATAGAGAATCATAAAGTATTTGAAATTGTGATTTCTTTTAACTTTGATTTAAATACTTCACATATAAGAAAGAGTTCTTTGTGTCTCTCTCTGTGTGTGTGTGTGTGTATGTGTGTGTGTGTGTTATAAAATACGATTTTGAATTACGTTTTGTTACCCTGTATTTGTAAATGATTCTGTCTTTTATAACATGTTTTCCCTGTCTGGAATATTTAGGAGCCTCCTTTAATGCAGAAGACATATGTTGATCCTAAACACTGTAGGGTTTCAGCACACCTAGATGATAATGTGAGTTAATTATTTGATTAATTCAACAGAATTAATGAATTGCAAAATAGCAGATTGTATTGTCTTTTTCTTTATTGAAATATATCCAAACTTTCATTAGAATCTAAGTATTTTATCAATTCTTATTGTGCATAAACAATGTTGGGTTTTTTTAACTTCAAATCCCTATGTCTTATATTGGACTCTTAGAAAATTTCTTTCAGTTGTCAAAGCTGTCCATCTTAGCAAAGCAGTTTCTTCACAAAGACAAACTCTGAATGTATGAGCATTGTGTCCTAGATCAAAACATAATAAGATATAAAAACAAAAAATAAGCAAAATAAATGTTTTGTATTTCAGAACTTTGGTAAAAAAGGAACATTCAATTTCAAATAATTATTGTCTATTGATAAAGTCAAAAAAAATAATATTACAAAGAATTTATTCAGGTAATACTTAATACAGAGTCCCTTATTGAATTGGGCAACTATAGAAATTGAATAAATCTAAATAAATAAATAAATATACCAATTTATTGTTTATTTTGAAGTTAAGGATACTTCCAGTTTGGTCCTCTACGTCCTTCAAGGTTAAGGAATAATTATAGTTATAGTTAATATATATAGATAATGTGGATTATTTCATTTGTTAGCTAATTATTTGGCATGCAGGTAAAAATTTATGACAAACCCTAACCCTTTAATCAGTGGGGGAAATGCTTAAATTTTTAGCCTGTGATTCTTTCTACAAATAATAATAATAATAATAATAATAATAATAATAATAATAATAATAATAATAATAATAATAATAATAATAATAATAATAATAATAATAATAATAAAAAGTTGGAAGGGACCTTGGAGGTCATCTAGTCCAACCCCCTGCTCAGACAGGAAACCCTACACCATTTCGGACAGATGGCTGTCCAGTCTCTTCTTAAAAACTTCCAGTGTTGGAACATTCTTTGGAATATTCTTCTTCTTCTATAACACAAGCCTTGGTTGTGTTTTCTAAAACAAAACAGATCCTTGAGTCAGGTGTAAAATCCACAAAAAACCGTGCAAGAATCAAAGGTTTAGGCCTCTGTGATAGGCATGCAGAACTGATTGAGCATTTCTTTTGATTTTGACTTGCGTGATTATACAAAAGAAGCATTTTCAGGTTGTTTATAATCTTATCAGCAGTTGATGATTTCTGTATCACTTCTAAGATACTTTAGCCAATAGAATATTTAAGTTTGTGATCCCATACTTTACCAAATTCCAACTATATGAAATCAATTGAAAAGACATTTTATCTTTAATGAGAATACAAATCCACAAGATTATCAGTGGTTATGGATATATTTGTCATGGTTCAGATGTCTGCACCTGTTCTATACTTCACTTTTTTTTACTTGCCACATCAAAGCGTTCCAGTTGGTATTTCTGTTTACTTACTATGACTGTGACATTGCCAAATTTCCTTATTTCTTCTCAGAAGTTTTATATGTTTATGCATGTTGTTGTTTCTAATATTCTAGATTTATTTATATACATTATTTAAATTAATTTTCAACTCTGTAATTTTCAGTGTTCTGGGCTCATTATTGGTATATTCCCTAATTTATGGTATACTGATCTAATATGGTCTAATATGATATACCATATTATAATGGTAATGGAATAATGGTATACCATATTGTGCATATTGATTGGTGCTTACTGTATTGGATTTGTATTATAGCATTTCACAATCCATTGTGCATTGAATGATTCAGAAAATGCTTTTTAGATTTATAAAAATGATACGTAAAGGGGCATCAGAATGCTAGCAAACATTTATCTGAAATTTCTAACATTTCTAAAACATTTTGATACTGCAAATTCAGTGTGTAATATGCCACAGTACTGTGCTCTTTAAAGATGATGGGCAAAGTAATTAATTCCACTAGATAAATGCAAATCCATGGAATACTCAGGGAAGTTTTTTAACTCCCTCATTTAATTTCAAGATATATTTTGAATTGTATTGTATTGTATTTTATTAGTTTTTCAGAAAACATACTGGTAAAAATATAAGTGAACTATTAATAAATGTAAAATTGTTCACATAATAGCTATCATTTATCTTTCTTTTGCTAGTATTCTGCCACAGTAGTATTACAATATCATAGGAAATTTCAGAAATAAAATATGTGAAAATTTTCTGCTCTTTGTGTCATTGTCTGCTAGATCAAGTAGGGATTATTTCTGTTTGCAAGAATAATAAATATTACTGGACTAATCCAATATAGTTGCTTGAACACAAGAATTCTAGTATTAATAAATATTTTAACAAACAAGCAATTTAATGTTGTTTAAGCTAGATAATATGCCTTTAACAATAAGCACTCCATTATATTTTATTAGGTAGAAGACAATGTACCTCTTAAAATAATGCTGCTACTCATGGATGAAATATTCGATCTGAAGGAGAGAAATCAGTGGCTACGACGGAATATCAAAAATCTGCTTCAGCAGCTTATTAGAGCAATGCATGGATATACAATAAATAAGTACTGTCTTTCATTGCCTCATTCTTAAAAACCTGTGTATTATATGGAAAAGATACAAAAAAATTATGCTTCTGCTTTTAAACATTAATTATTTGAAAATGGTTATATTGTGAATTAGGGAATGAATATGATATGAATATATGACTGCTTTTCTCATATTGCTGGGTCTGCATAGAATAGATGAGGAAGGATGTGCCTGTCTGATTGAGTACCCTGCTCTTTCATAATTGTTTCATCAGGCTCCATAATTCACATCAGCAGTGTTTGCAGTGGGAAGCTTTAAAAAGTCAATATGGCAAGATAATCAAGCTTTACTTTTTGTCCATATAATACCAATACAATGCACAAGTGTAGAGATTCACTATGCTTGATGCTTTTGATGCCCCTATCTACCATTGATGCAGATACTTTACATACTCTTTTTTTTACTTAGTTAGTATACCATTATTTCCTAATGGTCTTCTAATAATATCAACATAAAATAACATCTCAAAAGGATACTAAATACATATATAAAAATTGACAAGAAAAAATGAGGAAATAAAAAAGTCACACACCTGCAAACCCCTACCTTCAGTAATACCACTGAAGAAGAACAAGTAGTAGTTCTTATAAGGAAAGGTGAAGGTGACCAAATATCTGCCGGGAGGAAATTCCAAAAGGTAGAGAAGCTTCTAAAAAATCTGCTTTTAAAGATCTATCAGATGATATAGGACCTGGAGAAAGTTAATAATATTTTATCTGTTTGGACATGCAGATGAATATAGAAAAAAGGTGCTCCATCAGATAATGATGTCTAGAGCCATAGGACTTTAAAGGACTTCTAATTGTGCCCAGAAACCAACTGGCAAACAGTGCAATTCCCAAAGCACTGAGGATACCCAAAGGTATTAGGATTCAATCAGTCAATTATAATAGAGCTGGAAGGATCTTGGAAGTCTTCACGTCCTTCTGCTCAAGCAGGAGTCCCTATATACTTTCAGATAAGTGGCTGTCCAGTCTCTTCTTAAAAACCTTGAATGATGAAGCATCCACAAGGTCTGAAGGCAACCTGTTCCGCTGACTAATTGACCTTTCTGTTAGGAGGTTTTTCCTTAATTCCAGGTTGCTTCTTTCCTTGATTGATCTTCATCAATCACTACCTGAGTGCTGCATTTTATAGCAGCTGTACCTCATAAAACCTCTTAAAGAGCAGCTCCCTGTAAAGCATATTATGATATTCTAAAAAAATATTCTGACTTATTATGTTCCAGTCTTCTTTTAATCTAACTAAAATAGCAATTTGTGTCACATCTTCATAACTTTCTGGTTGCACTTAGATGGGGAAATCTGGACTGCAATTATCATTAAATTAAATTTCATCATAAGTATCAAGATTAGCTGTTTCTGATTCTCAGGAATTGTATGACATTATTAATAGCCATAAAGACTTCATAGGAGATTTCTGTATTCTGGAAGTATATGTTTTCAGTCAGCATATTTGCAAAAAATTTAAAAATACTCTAGCAATTATATCAGCAATAAATTTGTTACCTAGAAAGGGTATGCATTTGACAAAGATAAATATAAATGGAGCATATCCCCTTCTGTTCTCTTCTTTTCACTATTGTTGTATTTTTGTTTCTTTATTAGAAGTATTTTAATTATTGTGAAGTGGGTTGGATTCATTTATAGTTGACCTTAGTGGTGTTCTTGTGATTTTAGTGGGACCCAGGTTTAAGTAATTTAGTTTGGATACAAATAAATGAACGAAAACACTTGTTTTACAAAAATATAATTCAGGAATTTTATTTGTTTCAGAAAAATAGTTGATCATGTTGATTGGATGACATCTCCTGAGCAAGTAGCAGATGCAGTTAAACGGTTTAGGTAGGTCTTTAAAGGAGGGACAGATTCCCTTAAAATTAATTTTAGTACTTACAAGATAATTTTTTCTTCATTAGAGCTTACTAAGGCTTAGGATATTATTAACCTTTTACAAAAAGACTAATACTTTGTAGAAAGCAACTGATTTGTAAATAGATACAAAAAGAAAAGATGTAAAAATCCTTTGCAATAAAAAAATCAAGTTTTTGCTTCTGATTAAATGAAATAGCTGTAAAATCATTCCTCATTTGGTAAGTACCTTGATTAGCAACATTCACAAATATAGTAATTTAAAAATCATTTTCTGATCATTGTATGCATTTATCACTAAATTTCTGGTGCTTGAGAATAAAATCCTTCAGTTGAAATTGATAATAAAAATCTGGTCAGTTTCAGGCAATAGCAACAGTTGATAAGAGAGTTCTATCAGTTAAAGTCACAGAGATGAGCTTGTTAATTTGCAGTTTGTTTTTTAGAGAAGCACTATGCTGCTGGAAAAGGCAACTCAGGTAGAGCTAGCTTGTTTAAGTAATTCATCGTTCTGTGAGAAGGCAGGCAAAAAAGGAAATGTCATGCACGGGATACTATAGGGCAGTGATGGCAAACCTTTTAGAGACGGAGTGCCCAAACTGCAACCGAAAACCCACTTATGTATTGTCGGGTGCCGGTTGGGCGTAGCCCATTGGGTGGGTGTGGCCAATTGGGCGGCCGTGGCCCATGTGGGCATGGCTGCAGTGGTAACGGCAGACTGGGTGGGACTAAAAAGTTCAATCAATCAGTTCCAACTTTGCGAGATCTTTTTTTTCCACGTGAGAAGTTAAAATTGATTGATTAATTGAACCTCTTTTTTTTTGCACACGGCGGTGGAGACCTAAAGCAAAAAGATTTTATAAAACCCAGCTGAAGGTGTAGGACTGGGGCAACGGCGCACGTGCCCACAGAGAGGTTTGCCACCATGGCTATAGGGCAGAGCTTTATCTGAATGAGATGGCAACAAGTATGTTCTTTGCAGTTTCTTTCTTACAGTCATGTGTTCACTTAACAACCAGTCATTGGAAAGAAACATATTCATTAAATGAGGAGAGAATGTATCTAATTTTGTATGTATCACCTAGCTAAGTTTTACTGATTGAGCTTAATATCCCCCAATTTCATTGGGCTACACTTTGCAAGCTGTTTTTTGCAAGGTGTATGGAACACAGTCACATGTATAATGTCATTGATGCCAAAGCCAGTACAAATTCAATAAATCACTCAAAAGCAGAGTCTGATAATGCACATACATTTATCAAGAAAAAAAATCACTCAAGTGCTGTGCTTTTATTTTATGCAAATCTGTCATAGGCAAGATGTTTTTGGTAATAGCACTATTTTTAGATATTGTAATTCTAAAATAATAGTCATTTTAATAAGTAGATTTGTCTCCTTCTAGAGATGCCTTTTGGCCAAATGGCATTTTAGCTGAAACTGTTCCCCACAGAGATAATGCAATCAGAATGCGAACACGAATTGCTGCAAAAACAAAACTGCTGGGAGTAATGCCTGGTACGTGGAATATATTAAACTAATTACTTTTTGAACTGAAATAGGAAATATAGCAAATGTAGTAACTAAATACAGTCTTGTTTTCTCTCCATATAAATGTTTTATAAACAAGTTGAGAAATAATACTTATATAAAAAAGTGATATTGCTTGAATACATTTAATTTTTTATGGAATCCATTTTAAATGGTATTTTTCATAATTTATAATCATACGTTCATTCAATTAATATATATGTGAAAAATGAAGATAAAGCTTCCATTGAAGTTTGTTTTGTGGTTTGTCTAGATGAGTTGAAGCATATCCTTGGTGCTGAGACAACAAGAAAAGGCATTCTCCGAGTCTTTGAAATGTTCCAGCATACTCAACTAAATAAGAGAATGGTATATGTTTTTCTGGAGGGCTTCTTGGAAACCTTATTTTCAGAGTACGGATTCCACGATCTCTTCAAAAACTTGCATTCACGTTCAAAGCAAATGCAGATATATAAACATAAACTACAATCTACACAATCATCTTATTTACAGAAAAGGTGACACTTCCTACTATAAAATTGGTGTCCATTTGCCCCAAGACCTGGGCATATTCTCTGGGGCTTGAAACTCATGTTGTTATTCTCACACCAATCTTTTAGAATCTTATATTAGATCATTAATACATACATAAGAAATGTGGTTCTTCTCATTTTTCATCACTATTGCAACCATTATCATGAACTGGATTCATGTGTTTTAAATGATTCGTGTATCTTTGTGTAACATTGAGAAGAATACTAGTCTGTTGTGAGAATCTCTGTCTTTTCCGAATCTTATAGATTGTGATTGCCAACAATGAAAAATGCTATATTGGGTCCATTAATTAAAGTAAAGCTCAACTTCTAGGGTAGAAATAGAGGACTTGACTACTTTGCTTGGAACTAGGAGATTGTGCAATGTGAGAATCAGGTGTGAGTTGTTTTGTATTATGAGTACCTCCTAGCTCTGCAGAAGTTGGACTGGCATGATGAGAAGTCTAGTGGACAAGTGGTTATAAAAAAAATCTCTGCTCTCAAATTATATTTCCAAATAAATTAAATATCTGGAAAACTTTTATGAACTTATTAAGAAAGACTTTGTTCACATTTTACTATTCAATGGAATAGGGTAGAAATAAAAAAAGAAATAAACATAGGTTTAAGGGTCTTGATACATTCTTCAATTTAGTCTTTCAAGGCTACATATAACTTTTAAAAGACAAGGCTCAAAACAATATTTAAAATTAAATCAAGTTAGTACATTTATTTCCTTGTTAATAATCTGGGAGATTGGAAGAGAGGCAAATAAAAGCACTATGTTCTTGACATTAAGAGTTTCTTTGAAAAAAATTGCCCTATTTGACCTTAAAGAAATCACTCTGATACATTCACTTCAGCTGATAAATTACTAAAATGAATTGTTACTAATATGAAAGTCTTATGAACTTTCCTAAACAGTCATCTGCAAACAATAGCAACTTCCTGAATATACCATAGTGTATATATGATTATCATAGCTTTTAATATTTTTTGCATAATATAAATTTCAATAAATCTTTTCTACATGGAATACCTCATCTGTTTTCTTTACTTCCACCACAATGTCTAATTATGAATGAAGTAATAATTATTTGGACTTGAATTTACATCTTTTTTTGTTATTTTTCTTCAAGAATCCCCGAGACTACCAAGGAAATACAGTTTATTTGTTTCAACTTCAAATAATATATTATGTAGTCTATTTGAAAAGTAGTTTAAATCCCTAATAGCCAAACTATAATATCCTTTACTACTCTGATATTAAACATTTTCATTAAAAATATTTGGTTTTCATTAACATGATTTCTTTTGAAGACATGTTTGACTTTTGAGTGTAAATACTACTGTATTTGCAGAGATCTTGTAACTGAAGTTGCTATTTACATTCAGGAGAAAATAATATGCAACTTCAAAATAAATGAAAGGTGAAAGGAGCAGCATTGCTTCAACAATTTGAAGCTTGCTTAGTACTGGTCAAACTGAAAAAAAATACATGTTCATTGTAAGAAGCATGTGCTCAATTGCAATTGTGGCTTTTTAAAAAAAAAATTATTACAGATTTGTATACTATATGTGTAATACCTTTTAGTGATAGCAGGACAGTTTAAGATAAAATACATGAAATATTGTTTCCCTGTCTATCATGCCCCATCTTTCTAAATATAAATGACAATTGACCTTAAAAGTTTTCATACAAATATTCTTTTATACATTTCTGATTCTTGATTGTCTCTTTTTCCCATTTCTTAATGAAAAGATAAAAATAGTTTGGCTATACAAATTATAATGAGATTTAGATATATAAATGTTTCTATTTTTTAAAAAAATCAAAATTATTTTACATAGAAAAATAGGACATCAGTACTGCTATGGTTAAACTTGGTCCTAGCATTCTGGTGCTCTTTGCATTTTAAATGAAAGAATATTGGGTCCTTTGAATTGCTCCTGCAGTTTAAACCTGCATCCTCTCAACAGGTCTATTTGACCTCTTAATGTCCTTGTGTTCCAGGCAGTTGATTTTTAAAGTGGTATGCAGCCAGAATCTACATAGACCATCAGACAAAGGAAACCCAGTGGGAAACAAATTAGAACTTGCCTTCGATTTCTTACTTGAATTAATTAACTTGAATTAATCCTTGTAGATTACCCAGATCTAAAATGCAAATGGACAAATCGCAGTCAGGAAAATAGAATATATCTCTTATCCATGAATATCATTTCTAGATTTTAGGTTTATTTTCAGTAGTTGATTTTAGAAATTTATTTCATAAAACATTTGCATTAAGGAAACATAATATGCCTTTTATGTTAATAGTCACTATACTATAGCATTTTGTCATCTGTATTTAGTTTCAAAATGAGCCCACGGGGAGGAAGCATGTTGTATACATTGCCCTAATAAATTATTATGGTACATTGACATTACATGAACTGTAGCCCATCATTGTATACCACACAATTTAGGTTATTGCTGCACATAATTATCCACATACATCCCAGCCTGAGAATGATATGACTAGCCTCTGAAAATAAATGTGCCATTGTCCAACAAATATACTTATTTAGCCTTAATTTAAGAAAATGGATGGTAAGGTTCAATATTTCATATAGTTCATCCTCAAGCTTCTGCCTCTGGTGTTGCTACAAATAAACAATTTTAATACTATCAGAAAGTGTAATAATTTTAAAAAATAAAATATGAACTCCGCTCTCAATTCTAACTTCAGTGCAATATTTTCATGTAATGCATGTGTATTTGAATAATTGTAAAAACATTTTTAAGGTTTTGAGAACAAGGGTAAACTATATTAACTAACAATGTATAATATTCAGTTATTGCTGCTGTGTTGGCTTATCTAAGGACTTGTTTTAAAAGTCTGGTTTGTCACTTTGAAAATCTTTTCTATGCTCAAAAGAGCATAGATTTTTCAAGGAGCAAAATCTAAAGAGCACATCAACCTGTAGAAGATATATAAGTGACATGTGCATAAAATTGTATAGTATGTGTCAATTGCGTGCCTAATGATTCTATCAATATGCTTTTCTTTAACAAAGAATGGGGAAAAATGAAATGTCATAGTCTCTCTTGTTCTGAACAGCTGAAAACTCTAATTTTTTATTTGGAGTTCCCATTATGTTTGTCCAATGAATGAGCTTGGAAAAAGTACACTAATAAAACATTAAAAAGAAATATGTGCATTCGACCTATTTATTTGCCTTGTATAATAAATTTACTATATATAAAGGAACAACAATGTATTTGAAATAACAGTTAAATTCTACCTCATAATAAGAGATTTTGATTCCTGCTAAAAGAACAAATTGTGGTTTAGCTATATTTAGAAATCATTTATTTTGGCAAATGTAGTAATTATGATAGTAATTTAGAACAAACATATTGTACACAAGCTTATGTGGACCTCTAGTTCAATCACACTTGCTATAAATAGTGGTCGGCTTGAAATGCATTATCTTCTGAACGACAAGCAAAGAACTTTTAGTTGTTTTTTTCTCTTAAGCTTTGTTTTTCACAGTGGTGGGTTTGAGTGCTAGGACTCTTCCTCTGCTTGGTATCTATAAACATTCCAGCTATTTCAGATTCACCTTACAGCCGACAATGAGTCATTGGACCTCAGTAAGGCATTTGATAAAGTAGATCACAACCTACTACTTGAAAGTGGGTTAGTCAGCATCACCACCAGATGGATCCGTACCTGGCTGACCGGCCGTACTCAGCGTGTGGTCCTCAATGGAACTGCATCTACATGGAGGGAAATATGTAGTGGGGTGCCCCAAGGCTCTGTTCTGGGCCCAATGCTCTTCAATATCTTCAACGATTTGGACGAGGGGATAGATGGGGAAATCATCAAATTTGCAGACGACACCAAGCTGGCAGAAATAGCCAACACTCCAGAAGACAGGCTTAGGATACAGGAGGATCTGGACAGACTTGAACACTGGGCGCTATCTAACAAAATGAAATTCAATGGTGAAAAAAGTAAAGTGCTACATTTAGGCAAGAAAAACCAAATATATAGTTATTATATGGGGGGATACCTTGCTCAATAGTAGTAACTGTGAGAGGGATCTCGGAGTCCTAGTGGACAATCACTAGGACTAGCAGTGTGCTGCAGCTGCCAAAAAAGCCAACACAGTGCTAGGATGCATTAACAGAGGGATAGAATCAAGATCATGTGAAGTGTTAATACCACTTTACAATGCCTGGGTAAGGCCACACTTGGAATACTGCATCCAGTTTTGGTCACCACAATGTAAAAAAGATGTTGAGACTCTAGAACAGGGGTAGTCAACCTTGGCTTACCTGGCTCAGGAATTCTGGGAGTTGAAGTCCACGAGTCATAAAAGAGCCAAGGTTGACTACCCCTGCTCTAGAAAGAGTACAGAGAAGAGCAAAAAAGATGATTAGGGGACTGGAGGCTAAAGCATATAAGGAACGGTTGCTGGAAATGGGTATGTCTAGTTTACTGAAGAGAAGGACGAGGGGGGACAGTGTTCCAATATCTCAGGCGCTTCCACAAAGAAGAGGGAGTCAAGCTATTCTCCAAAGCACCTGAAGGCAGGATAAGAAGCAACGGATGGAAACTAATCAAGAAGAGAAGCAATCTAGAACTAATGAGAAACTTCCTGACAGTTAGAACAATTAACCAGTGGAACAACCTGCCTCCAGAAGTGGTGAATACTCCAACACTGGAAGTTTGCAGACGACACCAAGCTGGCAGAAATAGCCAACACTCCAGAAGACAGGCTTAGGATACAGAAGGATCTGGACAGACTTGAACACTGGGCGCTATCTAACAAAATGAAATTCAATGGTGAAAAAAGCAAGGTTCTACATTTAGGCAAGAAAAACCAAATATACAGGTATAGTATAGGGGGTACCTTGCTCAATAGTAGTAACTGTGAGAGGGATCTCGGAGTCCTAGTGGACAATCACTTAAATATGAGCCAGCAGTGTGCTGCAGCTGCCAG